ACCCCATAACCCCCTATTCTCACCCCATAGCACCCCATTCTCACCCCATAGCACCCCGTTCTCACCCCATAGGCCCCTATTCTCACCCATAGCACCCCCTTCTCACCCCACAGCGCCCCATTCTCACCCCATAACCCCCTATTCTCACCCCATAGCACCCCGTACTCACCCCATAGCACCCCATTCTCACCCCACTGCACCCCATTCTCACCCCATAACCCCCTATTCTCACCCCATAACCCCCTATTCTCACCCCATAGCACCCCATTCTCACCCCATAGCACCCCGTTCTCACCCCATAGGCCCCTATTCTCACCCATAGCACCCCCTTCTCACCCCACAGCGCCCCATTCTCACCCCATAACCCCCTATTCTCACCCCATAACCCCTTATTCTCACCCCATAGCACCCCATACTCACCCCATAGCACCCCATTCTCACCCCACAGCGCCCCATTCTCACCCCATAGCACCCTATTCTCACCCCACAGCTCCCCATTCTCACCCCATAACCCCCTATTCTCACCCCATAACCCCCTATTCTCACCCAATAGCACCCCATTCTCACCCCATAGCACCCCATTCTCACCCCACAGCCCCCCATTCTCACCCATAGCCCCCCATTCTCACCCCACAGCTCCCCATTCTCACCCCATAACCCCCTATTCTGACCCCATAACCCCCTATTCTCACCCCATAGCACCCCATTCTCACCCCATAGCACCCCGTTCTCACCCCATAGGCCCCTATTCTCACCCATAGCACCCCATTCTCCCCCCACAGCCCCCCATTCCCACCCCATAACCCCCTATTCTCACCCCATAACCCCTTATTCTCACCCCATAGCACCCCATACTCACCCCATAGCACCCCATTTTCACCCCACAGCGCCCCATTCTCACCCCATAGCGCCCCATTCTCACCCCACAGCTCCCCATTCTCACCCCATAACCCCCTATTCTCACCCCATACCCCCTATTCTCACCCCATAGCACCCCATTCTCACCCCATAGCACCCCATTCTCACCGCACAGCCCCCCATTCTCACCCATAGCGCCCCATAGCGCCCTGTTCTCACCCCATTGCGCCCCCTTGTCCCCCCTGCAGCAACCTGGAGGGCTTCCTGGAGGAGTTTGCTGACATTTCCAAGGAGGACCAGATCAAGAAGCTCCACGACCTGCTGGGCCCCCACATGCTGCGGCGCCTCAAGGCTGATGTCTTCAAGAACATGCCTGCCAAGACTGAGCTCATCGTCAGGGTGGAGCTGAGCCCCATGCAGAAGTAGGTGGCACCCCATAGGCACCCATAAGTACCCATCAGAGCACATAGATACCCATAGCACCCATAGGTACCCATCAGAACCCATAGCACCCATAGGTACCCATCAGAACCCATAGCACCCATAGGTGCCGATCAGAATGCATAAATACCCATCAGAACCCATAGACACCCATAGCACCCATAGGTACCCATCAGAACCCATAGCAACCATAGGTACCCATCAGAACACATAGATACCAATAGCACCCATAGGTACCCATCAGAACCCATAGACACCCATAGCACCCATAGGTACCCATCAGAACCCATAGCACCCATAGGTACCCATCAGAACCCGTAGCATCCATAGGTACACATCAGAACCCATAGCACCCATAGGTACCCATCAGAGCACATAGACACCCATAGCATCCATAGGTACCAGTCAGAACCCATAGACACCCATAGCATCCATAGGTGCCCATCAGAACCCATACACACCCATAGGTGCCCATCATACCCATAGGTACCCCTCAGAACCCATAGACACCCATAGCACCCATAGGTACCCCTCAGAACCCATAGACACCCATAGCACCCATAGGTACCAGTCAGAATCCATAGACACCCATAGCACCCATAGGTACCAATCAGAACCCACAGACACCCATAGCATCTATAGGTGCCCATCAGAACCCATACACACCCATAGGTACCCATCAGAACCCATAGCACCCATAGGTACCCATCAGCACCCATAGGTACTCATCAGAACCTGTAAACACCCATAGGGACCCATCAGAACCCATAGCACCCATAGGTACCCATCAGAACCCATAGCATCCATAGGTACCCATCAGAACCCATAGCACCCACAGGTACCCATCAGCACCCATAGGTACTCATCAGAACCTGTACGCACCCATAGGTACCCATCAGAACCCATAGCACCCATAGGTACCTATCAGAACACATAGACACCCATAGCATCCATAGGTACCAGTCAGAACCCATAGACACCCATAGCATCCATAGGTGCCCATCAGAACCCATACACACCCATAGGTGCCCATCATACCCATAGGTACCCCTCAGAACCCATAGACACCCATAGCACCCATAGGTACCCCTCAGAACCCATAGACACCCATAGCACCCATAGGTACCAGTCAGAACCCATAGACACCCATAGCACCCATAGGTACCAATCAGAACCCATAGACACCCATAGCATCTATAGGTGCCCATCAGAACCCATACACACCCATAGGTACCCATCAGAACCCATAGCACCCATAGGTACCCATCAGAACCCATAGCACCCATAGGTACCCATCAGCACCCATAGGTACTCATCAGAACCTGTAAACACCCATAGGTACCCATCAGAACCCATAGCACCCACAGGTACCCATCAGCACCCATAGGTACTCATCAGAACGTGTACACACCCATAGGTACCCGTCAGAACCCATAGCATCCATAGGTACCCATCAGAACCCATAGCACCCACAGGTACCCATACACACCCATAGGAACCCATCAGAACCCGTAGCATCCATAGGTACTCATCAGAACCTATAGCACCCATAGATACCCATCAGAACCCGTAGCACCCATAGGTACTCATTAGAACCCATAGTACGCATGGGTACCCATCAGAACCTGTTGACAGCCATAGCACCCGTAGGTGCCCATCAGAACCCATAGCATCCATAGGTACCCATCAGAACCCATAGACGCCCATAGCACCCATAGGTACCCTGCAGAACCCATAGACACCCACAACACCCATAGGTATCCGTCAGAACCCATAGAAACCCATTAGAACCCATTGACACCCATAGAACCCATAGGCACCCATAGACACCTGTCAGCACCCATTGACCCCCATCGGAACCCATAGAGCCTATACACACCCCATAGCACCCATAGCTATGGTGACACCCATCAGAACCCATAGACACCCATTAGAACCCATAGTCACCCATAGACACCCATCAGAACCCATAGAGCCTATAGACACCCCATAGCACCCATAGCTATGATGACACCCATCAGAACCCGTAGACACCTGTCAGCACCCATAGACACCCATTGGAACCCATAGCGCCTATAGACACCCCATAGCACCCATAGCTATGGTGACACCCATCAGCACCCATAACACCCATTAGAACCCATAGGCACCCATCAGCACCCACAGACACCCATTAGAACCCATAGGCACCCATCAGCACCAACAGACACCCATTAGAACCCATAGGCACCCATAGACACCCATTAGAACCCATCGGCACCCATCAGCACCCACAGACACCCATTAGAACCCATAGGCACCCATCAGCACCCATAGACACCCATTAGAACCCATAGGCACCCATCAGCACCCATAGGCACCCATCAGCACCCATAGACACCCATTAGAACCCATCGGCACCCATCAGCACCCATAGACACCCCACAGCCCCACTGGGAGCTCTTGGGGTGCCCCCAGCCCCACATCCCATAGGAAGCACTCCGCATCCATCATTCCCATCCCCATGGGGTTCTCCCATTGTACCCAGTGCCCATCCCAGTGTTCCCAGTTGGGACCCCCAGCCCCACTGGGATGCTCCCAGCCCCATTGGGTTGCCCCCAGCCCCATTGGGTTGCCCCCAGCCCCATTGGGATGCCCCCAGCCCCATTGGGATGCCCCCAGCCCCATTGGGATGCTCCCAGCCCCATTGGGATGCCCCCAGCCCCACTGGGTTGCTCCCAGCCCCATTGGGATGCCCCCAGCCCCATTGGAATGCCCCCAGCCCCACTGGGTTGCTCCCAGCCCCATTGGGATGCCCCCAGCCCCATTGGGATGCTCCCAGCCCCATTGGAATGCCCCCAGCCCCACTGGGTTGCTCCCAGCCCCATTGGGTTGCCCCCAGCCCCATTGGGTTGCCCCCAGCCCCATTGGGATGCTCCCAGCCCCATTGGAATGCCCCCAGCCCCACTGGGTTGCTCCCAGCCCCATTGGGATGCCCCCAGCCCCATTGGGATGCTCCCAGCCCCATTGGGATGCCCCCAGCCCCATTGGAATGCCCCCAGCCCCACTGGGTTGCTCCCAGCCCCATTGGGATGCCCCCAGCCCCATTGGAATGCCCCCAGCCCCACTGGGTTGCTCCCAGCCCCATTGGAATGCCCCCAGCCCCACTGGGTTGCTCCCAGCCCCATTGGGATGCCCCCAGCCCCATTGGGATGCTCCCAGCCCCATTGGGATGCCCCCAGCCCCATTGGGTTGCCCCCAGCCCCACTGGGATGCCCTCAGCCCCACTGGGATGCCCCCAGCCCCACTGGGATGTCCCTGGGCCCATTCCCATCCCCATTGGGATGCCCCCAGCCCCACCGCCCACCCCACTCCCCCCATAGGAAGTACTACAAGTACATCCTTCCCAGCCCCATTGGGATGCCCCCAGCCCCATTGCCAGCCCCACACCCCCCATAGGAAGTACTACAAGTACATCCTTCCCATGCCCATTGGGATGCCCCCAGCCCCATTGCCAGCCCCACACCCCCCATAGGAAGTACTACAAGTACATCCTTCCCATCCCCATTGGGATGCCCCCAGCCCCATTGCCAGCCCCACACCCCCCATAGGAAGTACTACAAGTACATCCTTCCCATCCCCATTGGGATGCCCCCAGCCCCATTGCCAGCCCCACACCCCCCATAGGAAGTACTACAAGTACATCCTTCCCATCCCCATCGGGATGCCCCCAGCCCCATTGCCAGCCCCACACCCCCCATAGGAAGTACTACAAGTACGTCCTTCCCATCCCCATTGGGATGCCCCCAGCCCCATTGCCAGCCCCACACCCCCCATAGGAAGTACTACAAGTACATCCTTCCCATCCCCATTGGGATGCGCTGCCCCCAGCCCCATTGCCAGCCCCACACCCCCCATAGGAAGTACTACAAGTACATCCTTCCCATCCCCATTGGGATGCCCCCAGCCCCATTGCCAGCCCCACACCCCCCATAGGAAGTACTACAAGTACATCCTTCCCAGCCCCATTGGGATGCCCCCAGCCCCATTGCCAGCCCCACACCCCCCATAGGAAGTGCTACAAGTACATCCTTCCCATCCCCATTGGGATGCCCCCAGCCCCATTGCCAGCCCCACACTCCCCATAGGAAGTACTACAAGTACATCCTTCCCATCCCCATTGGGATGCCCCCAGCCCCATTGCCAGCCCCACACCCCCCATAGGAAGTACTACAAGTACATCCTTCCCAGCCCCATTGGGATGCCCCCAGCCCCATTGCCAGCCCCACACTCCCCATAGGAAGTACTACAAGTACATCCTTCCCATCCCCATTGGGATGCCCCCAGCCCCATTGCCAGCCCCACACCCCCCATAGGAAGTACTACAAGTACATCCTTCCCAGCCCCATTGGGATGCCCCCAGCCCCATTGCCAGCCCCACACCCCCCATAGGAAGTACTACAAGTACATCCTTCCCATCCCCATTGGGATGCCCCCAGCCCCATTGCCAGCCCCACACCCCCCATAGGAAGTACTACAAGTACATCCTTCCCATCCCCATTGGGATGCCCCCAGCCCCATTGCCAGCCCCACACCCCCCATAGGAAGTACTACAAGTACATCCTTCCCAGCCCCATTGGGATGCCCCCAGCCCCATTGCCAGCCCCACACCCCCCATAGGAAGTACTACAAGTACATCCTTCCCATCCCCATTGGGATGCCCCCAGCCCCATTGCCAGCCCCACACCCCCCATAGGAAGTACTACAAGTACATCCTTCCCATCCCCATTGGGATGCCCCCGGCCCCATTGCCAGCCCCACACCCCCCATAGGAAGTACTACAAGTACATCCTTCCCATCCCCATCGGGATGCCCCCAGCCCCATTGCCAGCCCCACACCCCCCATAGGAAGTACTACAAGTACATCCTTCCCATCCCCATTGGGATGGGATGCTCCCAGCCCCATTGCCAGCCCCACACCCCCCATAGGAAGTACTACAAGTACATCCTGACGCGGAACTTCGAGGCGCTGAACTCGCGGGGCGGCGGGAACCAGGTGTCGCTGCTCAACATCATGATGGACCTCAAGAAGTGCTGCAACCACCCCTACCTGTTCCCTGTGGCCGCCATGGTGAGGGGAGGATGGGGGGTGGGGTGTGGGTTGGGGGGTATGGGGTATGGGATATGGGGCATGGGGTATGGGATATGGGGTATGGGATATGGGGTGTGGGGTATAGGGTGTGTGGTGTGGGGTATGGGATATGGGGCATGGAGTATGGAATATGGGATATGGGGTACGGGGTATGGAATATAGGGTGTGGGATATGGGGTATGGGATATGGGGTATGGGGTATGGAAATTAGGGTATGGGGTGTGGGGTATGGGATATGGGTCATGGGGTGTGGGGTATGGGATATGGGGTATGGGGTGTGGGATATGGGATATGGGGTGTGGGGTATAGGGTGTGTGGTGTGGGGTATGGGATATGGGGCATGGGATATGGGTATGGGGTATGGAATATAGGGTATGGGATACGGGGTGTGGGGTATGGGATATGGGGTATGGAAATTAGGGTATGGGGTGTGGGGTATGGGATATGGGGCATGGGGTATGGGATATGGGGTGTGGGGTATGGGATATGGGGTGTGGGGTATGGGATATGGGGTATGGGGTATGGAATATAGGGTATGGGCTGTGGGGTATGGGATATGGGTCATGGGGCATGGGGTATGGGATATGGGGCATGGGGTATGGGGTGTGGGGTATGGGATATGGGGTATGGGGTATGGGGCATGGGGTATAGGGTGTGTGGTGTGGGGTATGGGATATGGGGCATGGGGTATGGGGTATAGAAATTAGGGTGTGCGGTATGGGATATGGGGCATGGGGTATGGGGTATGGAATATAGGGTATGGGCTGTGGGGTATGGGCTGTAGGGTATGGGATATGGGGTATGGGGTATGGGATAATGGAGGCTTCACCTTGGAGACCAATGGGAGGGACATGGGGTGAAACAAGATGCTATGGGGTGCTTTAGGGTGCTATGGGGAGCTATGGGGATCCATGGGGTGCTATGGGGATCCATGGGGTTTCTGTGGAGTGCTATGGGGATCTATGGGGTTTCTGTGGGGTTTCTATGGGGTGCTATGGGGATCCATGGGGTTTCCATGGGGATCCATGGGGGTGCCATGGGGTTTCCATGGGGTTTCTATGGGTTTCCATGGGGTTTCTGTGGGGTTTTTATGGGGTTTCTATGGGGTTTCTATGGGGTTTTCTATGGGGTTTCTATGGGGATCCATTGGGTGCTATGTGGTTTCTATGGGGTGCCATGGGGTCCTATGCCATGGGTTGCTATGTGGTTTCTGTGGGGTGCCATGGGGGTGCCATGAGGTGCCATGGGGTGCTATGGGGTGCCATGTGGTTTCTATGGGGTGCCATGGGGTGCTATGGGAATCCATGGGGGTGCCATAGGGGTGCTATGGAGGTGCTGTGGGGTGCCATGGGGTGCTATGGGGTGCCATGTGGTTTCTATGGGGGCCCATGGGGTGCTATGGGAGTGCCATGGGGGTGCTATGGGGGTGCCATGGGGTGCTATGGGGTTTCTATGGGGTGCTGTGGGGTGCCATGGGGATCCATGGGGTGCCATGGGGTGCTGTGTGGTTTCTATGGGGATCCATGGGGATCCATGGGGTGCCATGGGGTGCTGTGTGGTTTCTATGGGGATCCATGGGGTGCCATGGGGTGCCACGTGGTTTCTGTGGGGTGCTGTGGGGGTGCTATGGGGATTCATGGGGTGCCATGGGGGTGCTATGTGGATCCATGGGGTTTCTATGGGGATCCATGGGGTGCTATGGGGTGCCGTGGGTGCCATGGGGTGCTCTGTGGTTTCTATGGGGTGCCATGTGGTGCTATGGGGATCCGTTGGGTGCCATGGGGTGCTGTGGGGTTTCTGTGGGGTGCCATGGGGGTGCTATGGGGTTTGTATGGGGTTTTTATGGGGTGCCATGGGGGTGCTCTGTGGTTTCTGTGGGGTGCTGTGGGGATCCATGGGGTTTCTATGGGGTGCTCTGGGGATCCATGGGGTTTCAATGGGGTGCTCTGGGGATCCATGGGGTTTCTATGGGGGGCTCTGGGGATCCATGGGGTTTCAATGGGGTGCTCTGGGGATCCATGGGGTTTCTGTGGGGTGCTGTGGGGATCCATGGGGTTTCAATGGGGTGCTCTGGGGATCCATGGGGTTTCTATGGGGTGCTATGGGGATGCCGTGGGTGCTATGGGGTTTCTATGGGGTTTCTATGGGGTGCTATGGGGGTGCCGTGGGTGCTATGGGGTTTCTATGGGGTTTCTATGGGGTTTCTATGGGGTGCTATGGGGGTGCCGTGGGTGCTATGGGGTTTCTATGGGGTTTCTATGGGGTTTCTATGGGGTGCTATGGGGGTGCCGTGGGTGCTATGGGGTTTCTGTGGGGTGCTATGGGGTTTCTATGGGGTTTCTATGGGGTTTCTGTGGGGTTTCTATGGGGTTTCTATGGGGTTTCTGTGGGGTGCTATCGGGTTCCTATGGGGTTTCTATGGGGTTTCTATGGGGTTTCTGTGGGGTGCTCTGGGGGTGCCGTGGGTGCTATGGGGTTTCTATGGGGTGCTATGGGGTTTCTATGGGGTTTCTATGGGGTTTCTATGGGGTGCTATGGGGTTTCTATGGGGTTTCTATGGGGTGCTATGGGGTTTCTATGGGGTGCTATGGGGGTGCTCTGGGGGTGCTGTGGGTGCTATGGGGTTTCTATGGGGTTTCTATGGGGTGCTCTGGGGTTTCTATGGGGTGCTATGGGGTTCCCGTGGGGTGCCCGCAGGAGTCCCCGAAGCTGCCGAGCGGGGCGTACGAGGGGGGGGCGCTCATCAAGGCCTCGGGGAAGCTGCTCCTGCTCCAGAAGATGCTGCGCAAGCTCAAGGAGCAGAACCACCGCGTGCTCATCTTCTCCCAGGTGAGCCCCGCGCCGCCTGCGCCTGCCCCGTGGGGGCCTGTGGGGGCCTGTGGGTGCTCTATGGGTGCTCTATGTGTGCCTATGGGTGCCCTATGGGTGCCCTATGGGTGCCCCATGGCATCTATGGGTGCCTATGGGTGCCTATGGGTGCCCCATGGCATCTATGGGTGTCCTATGGGTGCTCTATGGGTGCACTATGGCATCTATGGGTGCCTATGGGTGCTCTATGGGTGCCCCATGGCATCTGTGGGTGCTCTATGGGTGCTCTATGGGTGCCCTATGGGTGCCCTATGGCATCTATGGGTGTCCTATGGGTGCTCTATGGGTGCCCCATGGCATCTATGGGTGCTCTATGGGTGCCCCATGGAATCTGTGGGTGCTCTATGGGTGCTCTATGGGTGCTCTATGGGTGCCTATGGGTGCCCCATGGCATCTATGGGTGCTCTATGGGTGCTCTATGGGTGCACTATGGGTGCCCCATGGCATCTATGGGTGTCCTATGGGTGCCTGTGGGTGCACTATGGGCATCTATGGGTGTCCTATGGGTGCTCTATGGGTGCCCCATGGCATCTGTGGGTGCTCTGTGGGTGCTCTGTGGGTGCTCTATGGGTGCCCTATGGCATCTATGGGTGTCCTATGGGTGCCCCATGGCATCTATGGGTGCTCTATGGGTGCCCCATGGCATCTGTGGGTGCTCTATGGGTGCCTATGGGTGCCCCATGGCATCTATGGGTGTCCTATGGGTGCTCTGTGGGTGCCTATGGGTGCCCTATGACATCTATGGGTGTCCTATGCGTGCTCTATGGGTGCACTATGGGTGCCCCATGGCATCTATGGGTGTCCTATGGGTGCTCTATGGGTGCCTATGGGTGCACTATGGGCATCTATGGGTGTCCTATGGGTGCTCTATGGGTGCCTATGGGTGCCCTATGGCATCTATGGGTGTCCTATGGGTGCTCTATGGGTGCACTATGGGTGCCCTATGGCATCTATGGGTGTCCTGTGGGTGCTCTGTGGGTGCCTATGGGTGCCCTATGGCATCTATGGTTGTCCTATGGGTGCTCTATGGGTGCCTATGGGTGCCCTATGGCATCTATGGTTGTCCTATGGGTGCTCTATGGGTGCCTATGGGTGCCCTATGGCATCTATGGGTGTCCTATGGGTGCTCTATGGGTGCACTATGGGTGCCCTATGGCATCTATGGTTGTCCTATGGGTGCTCTATGGGTGCCTATGGGTGCCCCATGGCATCTATGGGTGCCCTATGGGTGCCCTGCGCCTGCCCCGTGGCATCTGGGGTTGCCCCGTGGCATCTGTGGGTGCCCCATGGATGCCCTATGGGTGCCCCATGGCATCTGGGGGTGCCCCGTGGCATCTGTGGGTGCCCCATGGCATCTGTGGGTGCCTGTGGGTGCCCTGTGGGTGCCCTATGGGTGCCCCGTGGCATCTGTGGGTGCACTATGGGTGCCTGTGGATGCTCTATGGGTGCCCCGTGGCATCTGTGGGTGTCTATGGGTGCCTATGGGTGCTCTATGGGTGCCCTGTGGCATCTGTGGATGTCTGTGGGTGCCCCATGGCATCTTGGGGTGCCCCATGGCTGCCCCGTGGCATCTGTGGGTGCCCTGTGGGTGCCTGTGGGTACTCTGTGGGTGCCTATGGGTGCTCTGTGGGTGCCTGTGGGTGCCTACGGGTGCTCTATGGGTGCCTATGGGTGCCTACGGGTGCTCTATGGGTGCTCTATGGGTGTCTATGGGTGCCCTATGGGAGCCTATGGGTGCCAGTGGGTGCCCTATGGGTACCCTATGGGTGCACTATGGGTGCCCTATGGGTGCCCCATGGCATCTATGGGTGCTCTATGGGTGCCCCATGGCATCTGTGGGTGCCCTACGCCTGCCCCGTGGCATCTGTGCCTGCCCCATGGCATCTATGGGTGCCCCGTGGCATCTGGGGGTGCACTATGGGTGCTCTATGGGTGCCCCATGGCATCTATGGGTGCCCCATGGCATCTGGGGGTGCTCTGTGGGTGCCCTGTGGCATCTGGGGGTGCCCCATGGCATCTATGGGTGCCTGTGCGTGGCCTATGGGTGTCTATGGGTGCTCTGTGGGTGCCCCGTGGTATCTATGGGTGCCCTGTGGGTGCCTATGGGTGCTCTATGGGTGCCTATGGGTGCCTGTGGGTGCCTATGGGTGTTCTATGGGTGCCTTTGGGTGCCTATGGGTGCTCTATGGGTGCCCGTGGGTGCCCTGTGGGTACCCTATGGGTGCACGATGGCATCTATGGGTGCCCTATGGGTGCCTGTGGGTGCCTATGGGTGCACTGTGGGTGCCCTATGAGTGCCTATGGGTGCCCTGTGGATGCCTATGGGTGCCTGTGGGTGCCTATGGGTGCACTGTGGGTGCCCTATGAGTGCCTATGGGTGCCCTGTGGATGCCTATGGGTGCCTGTGGGTGCCTATGGGTGCCCCATGGGTGCACTATGGGTGCCTGTGGGTGCCTATGGGTGCACTATGGGGGCCTATGGGTGCCTGTGGGTGCCTGTGGGTGCCCTATGGGTGCACTATGGCATCTATGGGTGCACTGTGGGTGCCTATGGATGCCCTATGGGTGCCTTTGGGTGCCTGTGGGTGCACTATGGGTGCCTATGGGTGCCTACGGGTACCCTATGGGTGCAGTATGGGTGCATTATGCGTGCCCTATGGGTGCACTATGGGGACCCTGTGGCATCTATGGGTGCCCTGTGGGTGCAGTATGGGGACCCTATGGCATCTATGGGTGCCCTGTGGGTGCCTATGGGTACCCTATGGGTGCACTATGGCATCTTTGGGGGCCCTATGGGTGCCTATGGGTGCACTGTGGGTGCCTATGGGTGCCCTTTGGGTGCCCTATGGGTGCACTACGGCATCTATGGATGCCCTATGGGTGCACTATGGGGACCCTATGGCATCTCTGGGGACCCTCTGGGTACCCTATAGCATAGATAGATACCATATAGGGGCCTGATAGCATCGATAGATATCCTATAGCATCGGTAGATACCCTATAGGGACCGTATAGCATCTATAGTTACCCTTTGGATACCCTATACCTACCCTATGCTATCTATAGATACCCTATAGATACTCTAAAGCATCTATAGATACTCTTTAGATACCTTATAGCATGTATAGGTACCCTATAGCATCTGTAGATACCCTACAGGTACCCTACAGCATCTATAGATACCCTTTGCATACCCTATAGCTACCCTATAGTATCTATAGATACCCTATAGATACTCTACAGCATCTATAGATACCCTATAGATACCTTATGGCATCTATAGGTACCTTTTAGCATCTATAGATACCCTACAGCATCTGTAGTTACCCTATGGATACCCTATAGCATCTACAGGTACCCTATAGCATCTGTAGATATCCTATAGCATCTGTAGATACCCTATAGATACCCTGTAGCTTTTATAGAGACCATATATATACCCTATAGGTACTCTATTGCACCTATAGATACCCTATAGCATCTATAGATACCCTGTAGGTACCTTATAGCATCTATAGGTACCTATAGGTACCCTGTAGATACTGTATAGGTACCCTATAGATATGCTCTAACATCCATGTAGCACCTATAGACACCCCTATAGCACCACTGTGTGCTCATCTTCTCCCAGGTGACACCCACAGGCCCTATAGGTACCTTATAAGTGCCCTATAGCATTGATAGATATCTTATAGCATGTATAGATACCCTATAGATACCCTGTAGCATCTATAGATATCCTGTGGCATCTATAGATACCCTACAGATGCCCTACAGCATCTATAGATGCCCTATTGATAACTTATAGCATCTATAGGTACCCTATAGCATCTGTAGATACCCTATGGGTACTCTATAACATCTATAGTTATCCTATAGCATCTATATATGCCCTATAGGTGCCCTACAACATTTATAGACACCCTATAGGTACTGCATAGCATCTATAGATACTCTATAGATACCCTATAGCATCTACAGATACTCTATAGGTACCCTATAACATCTGTAGATACTCTATAGATACCCTATAGCATCTATAGATACCTTATAGGTACCCTATAACATCTATAGATACCCTACAGATACCCTGTAGCATCTATAGATACCTTATAGGTACCCTATAACATCTATAGATACCCTATAGATACCCTATAGCATCTATAGATACCCTATAGGTACCCTGTAACATCCGTCTAGCACCTATGGACACCCCCATAGCACCACCCTGTGCTCATCTTCTCCCAGGTGACACCCACAGCACCTATAGACCTTCATATAGCACCCTATAGATATACTGTAGCACCCATAGACATCCAAAGACACCCCATAGACACCCTTAGGCATCCGTAGACCCCCATAGCACCCTATAGCATCCATAGACACCCAGACATCCATAGACACCCATAGCACCCTATAGCATCCATAGCACCCATAACCACCACTAGACATCCATAGACATCCATAGCACCCGTAGACACCCATAGCAATCTTTAGCACCCGTATCACCCATAGACAGGCATAGGCACCCATAGCAACCTATCGCATTCATAGCACCCATAGACACCCATAGCAACCTTTAGCACCCATAGACATCCATAGACACCCATAGCAACCTTTAGCACCTGTAGCGCCCATAGACATCCATAGACACCCATAGGAACCTATCGCACCCATAGCACCCATAGACACCCATAGCAACCTTTAGCACCCATAGGCATCCGTAGACACCCATAGTAATCTTTAGCACCCATACCACCCATAGACAGGCATAGGCACCCATAGGAACCTTTAGCATCCATAGCACCCATAGACACTCCTAAACATCCATAGCATCCATAGACACCCATAGCAACCTATAGCACCTGTAGACACCCATATCAACCTGTAGCACCCATAGACGTCCATAGACACCCATAGCAGCCTATAACATCCATAGCACCCATAGATACCCATAACAACCTTTAGCATCCATAGCACCCACAGACGTCCATAGCAACCTATAGCATCCATAGCACCCATAGACACCCACAGCAACCTATAACATCCATAGCACCCATAGCCACCCATAGCAACCTATAACATCCATAGCACCCATAGCCACCTATAGCAACCTTTAGCACCCATAGCACCCATAACCACCCACAGCAACCTATAGCACCCATAGCCACCCACAGCAACCTTTAGCACCCATAGCCACCCATAGCAACCTTTAGCACCCATAGCCACCCATAGCAACTTTTAGCACGCATAGCACCCATAGCCACCCACAGCAACCTGTAGCACCCATAGCCACCCATAGCTACCTATAGCACCCATAGCCACCCATAGCAACCTTTAGCACCCATAGCCACCCATAGCAACCTGTAGCACCCATAGCCACCCATAGCAACCTATAGCACCCATAGCCACTCATAGCAACCTTTAGCACCATTAGCAACCTTTAGCACCCACAGCAACCTTTAGCACCCATAGCCACCCATAGCAACCTTTAGCACCCATAGCCATCCACAGCAACCTTTAGCACCCATAGCCACCCACAGCAACCTATAGCACCCATAGCCACCCATAGCAACCTATAGCACCCATAGCCACCCATAGCAACCTTTAGCACCCATAGCACCCATAGCAACCTATAGCATCCATAGCACCCATAGAAACCCACAGCAACCTATAACATCCATAGCACCCATAGCCACCTATAGCAACCTATAACATCCATAGCACCCATAGCCACCCATAGCAAACTTTAGCACCCATAGCAACCTTTAGCACCCATAGCACACGTAACCACCCACAGCAACCTTTAGCACCCATAGCCACCCATAGCAACCTTTAGCACCCATAGCCACCCATATCAACTTTTAGCACGTGTAGCACCCATAGCCACCTATAGCAACCTATAGCACCCATAGCCACCCATAGCACCCATAGCCACCCATAGCAACCTTTAGCACCCATAGCCACCCATAGCAACCTTTAGCACCCGTAGCCCCCATAGCCTCCCCGTAGCACCCAGTGTGCGGCCCCAGTGCTCCCAGTATAACCAGTGCCCGCAGATGACGAAGATGCTGGACCTGCTCGAGGACTTCCTGGACTACGAGGGCTACAAGTACGAGCGCATCGACGGCGGCATCACCGGCGCCCTGCGGCAGGAGGCCATCGACCGCTTCAACGGTAGCACCCAATGGGGGGCACCCATGGGTGGGGGGGCACCCATGGGTAGGGGGGGAGTCAGTGGGTGGGGGTCACTATGGGGTAGTCAAAGGTAGGGGGTGATTGGCATCAGGAAGCCATTGAATGTGTCAGTGGTGGCACCCATGGGTGGGGGGCACCCATGGGTAGGGGGGGAGTCAGTGGGTGTGGGTCACTATAGGGGTAGTTAATGGTAGGGGGTGATTGGCATCAGGAGGCCATTGACTGTGTCAATGGTGGCACCCAGCATGGGGGCACCCATAGGTATGGGGGTAGTCAATGGGTGTGGGTCACTATGGGGTAGTCAATGGTAGGGGTTGATTGACATCAGGAGGCCATTGAATGTGTCAATGGGAGCACCCATGGGTGGGGGGCACCCATAGGTACAGGGGTAGTCAGTGGGTGTGGGTCACTATGGGGTAGTCAATGGTAAGGGATGATTGGCATCAGGAGGCCATTGACTGTCAATGGTAGCACCCATGGTGGGGGGCACCCATAGGTAGAGGGGTAGTCAGTGGGTATGGGTCACTATGGGGTAGTCAATGGTAAGGGGTGATTGGTATCAGGAGGCCATTGACTGTGTCAATGTTGGCACCCATGGGTGGGGGGCACCCATGGGTATGGGGGGAGTCAGTGGGTGTGGGTCACTATGGGGTAGTCAATGGTAAGGGATGATCGGTAACAGGCGGCCATTGAATGTGTCAATGGTAGCACCCAATGGGGGGCACCCATAGGTAGAGGGGTAGTCAATGGGGTGGGGGTCACTATGGGGTAGTCAATGGTAGGGGTTCATTGACATCAGGAGGCCATTGAATGTGTCAGTGGGAGCACCCATGGGTGGGGGGCACCCATAGGTACAGGGGTAGTCAAGGGGTGTGGGTCACTATGGGGTAGTCAATGGTAAGGGATGATTGGCATCAGGAGGCCATTGACTGTCAATGGTAGCACCCATGGGTGGGGGGCACCCATAGGTAGAGGGGTAGTCAGTGGGTATGGGTCACTATGGGGTAGTCAATGGTAAGGGGTGATTGGTATCAGGAGGCCATTGACTGCGTCAGTGGTGGCACCCATGGGTGGGGGGCACCCATAGGTAGGGATCATTATGGGGTAGGGGGTAGTCAATGGTAGGGGTTGATTGGCATCAGGAGGCCATTGACTGCATCAGCGGTGCCACCCATGGGTGGGGGGCACCCATAGGTAGGGAGGTAGTCAATGGGTGTGGGTCACTATGGGGTAGTCAATGGTAGGGGGTGATTGGTATCAGGAGGCCATTGACTGTGTCAATGGTGGCACCCAATGGGGGGCACCCATGGGTGGGGGAGTCAATATGGAGTACGGGGTAGTCAATGATAGGGGGTGATTGGCATCAGGAGGCCAATGAATATGTCAATGGTAGCACCCAGCATGGGGGCACCCATGGGTGGGGGCACCCATAGGTAGGGGTGTCAGTATGGGGTAGGGGGTGGTCAATGGTAGGGGGTGATTGGCGTCAGGAGGCCATTGTCAGTGGTGGCACCCAATGGGGCCACCCAATGGGGTGGGGGGCACCCATAGGTAGAGGGGTAGTCAATGGGTGTGGGTCACTATGGGGTAGTCAATGGTAGGGGTTGATTGGCATCCGGAGGCCACTGAATGTGTCAGTGGTAGCACCCATGGGTGGGGGGCACCCATAGGTAAGGGGGTAGTCAGTGGGTGGGGGTCACTATGGGGTAGTCAATGGTAAGGGATGATTGGTAACAGGAGGCCATTGACTGTGTCAATGGTGACACCCAGCATGGGGGCACCCATAGGTGGGGGGCACCCATAGGTAGGGGGTCAGTATGGGGTAGGGGGGAGGCAATGGTATGGGGTGATTGGCATCAGGAGGCCATTGACTGTGTCAGTGGTGGCACCCAATGGGGGGCACCCATGGGTGGGGGCACCCATAGGTAGAGGGGTAGTCAGTGGGTATGGGTCACTATGGGGTAGTCAATGGTAGGGGGTGATTGGCGTCAGGAGGCCATTGACGACATCAGTGGTGGCACCCATGGGTGTGGGGCACCCATAGGTGGAGGGGTAGTCAGTGGGTGGGGGTCACTATGGGGTACTCAATGGTAGGGGGTGATCGGCATCAGGAGGACATTGTGTCATTGGTGGCACCCAATGGGGGGCACCCATGGGTGGGGGGCACCCATAGAGGGGTAGTCAAAGGGTGTGGGTCACTATGGGTTAGTCAGTGGTAAGGGGTGATTGACATCAGGAGGCCTTTGACTGTGTCAATGGTGGCACCCAGTGGGGGGCACCCATGGGTGGGGGTCAGTATGGGGTAGGGGGCAGTCAATGGGTGGGGGGAAAAAGGGGTTTGGGTGGACATAGAGGGTGTTGGGGGGTACCTATGGGAGGGGGGGTCACTGGCTTGGGGGGCAACCGTGGGGTACTGTTGCCACTGATGCCAGGGGCTATGGGGTGCTATGGGGGGCTATAGGGAGTGCTGTGAGTGCTGATGCTGGAGGGGCAGTGCCAGGGGCTCTTGGGTGTCTGTGGGTGCTGTAGGGGTCTGTGGGTGCTATAGGGATCTCTGGGGGTCTGTAGGGTTCTGTGGGGTGCTGTAGGGGTCTTTGGGGTGCTGTAGGGGTCTGTGTGTACTATAGGGGTCTATGGGTGCTATAGGGTTCTGTGGGGTGCTATAGGGGTCTTTGAGGTGCTGTAGGGGTCTGTGTGTACTATAGGGGTCTATGGGGTGCTATAGGGGTCTATGGGTGCTATAGGGTTTTGTGTGGTGCTATAGGGGTCTTTGGGGTGCTGTAGGGGTCTATGTGTACTATAGGGGTCTGTGGGGTGCTGTAGTGGTCTATGGGTGCTATAGGGGTTTGTGGGTGTTAATGGGGTCTGTGCGTGCTGTAGGGGTCTGTGGGGTGCTATAGTGGTCTATGGGTGCTATAGGGGTCTGTGGGTGCTGTAGGGGTCTGTGGGGGTCTTTAGTCATCTGTGGGTGCTATAGGCATCTATGGGGTGCTATAGTGGTCTGTGGGGTGCTCTAATGGTCTATGGGTGCTATAGGGGTCTATGGGTGCTGTAGTGGTCTATGGGTGCTATAGTGGTCTGTGGGGTGCTGTAGGTGTTTGTGGGTGCTATAGGGGTCTGTGGGCGTCTGTAGGGGTCTATGGGTGCTGTAGGGTTCTATGGGTGCTATAGGGGTCTGTGGGTGCTATAGGGGTCTATGGGTGCTATGGGGTCTATGGGTGCTATAGGGGTCTATGGGGTGCTATAGGGGTCTGTGGGTGCTATAGGGGTCTATGTGGTGCTATAGGGGTCTGTGGGTGCTATAGGGGTCTATGGGGTGCTATAGGGGTCTATGTGGTGCTATAGGGGTCTATGGGTGCTGTAGGGGTCTATGGGGTGCTATAGGGGTCTGTGGGTGCTATAGGGGTCTGTGGGGTGCTATAGTGGTCTGTGGGGTGCTCTAATGGTCTATGGGTGCTATAGTGGTCTGTGGGGTGCTGTAGGGGTCTGTCGGTACTATATGCGTCTATGGGGTGCTATAGGTGTCTGTGGGTGCTATAGGGGTTTATGGGTGCTGTAGGGATCTGTGGGTGCTGTAGAGGTCTGTGGGGGTCTTTAGTGGTCTATGGGTGCTATAGGCATTTAAGGGGTGCTATAGTGGTCTATGGGGTGCTATAATGATCTATGGGTGCTACAGGTGTCTGGGTGCTGTAGGGGTCTGGGGGGGTCTGTTATGGTCTACGGATGCTGTAGTGGTCTGTGGGCTGCTGTAGGGGTATGGATACTATAGGTGTCTATGGGGTGCTATAGGGGTCTGTGGGGTGCTATAGTGGTCTATGGGTGCTGAAGGGGTCTATGGGTGCTATAGGGGTCTGTGGGTGCCTGTAGGGGTCTATGGGTGCTATAGGGGTCTGTAGGTGCTATAGGGGTTTGTGGGTGCTATAGGGGTCTGTGGGCGTCTGTAGGGGTCTATGGGTGCTGTGGGGGTCTATGGGTGCTATAGGGGTCTGTGGGTGCTATAGGGGTCTGTGGGTGCTATAGGGGTCTATTGGTGCTATGGGGTCTATGGGTGCTATAGGGGTCTATGGGTTGCTATAGGGGTCTGTGGGTGCTATAGGGGTCTGTGTGGTGCTATAGGGGTCTGTGGGTGCTATAGGGGTCTATGGGTGCTATAGGGGTCTATGGGGTGCTATAGGGGTCTGTGGGATGCTATAGGGGTCTATGGGGTGCTATAGGGTCTATGGGTGCTATAGGGGTCTGTGGGGTGCTATAGGGGTCTATGGGGTGCTATAGGGGTCTATGGGTGCTATAGGGGTCTATGGGTGCTGTAGGGGTTTGTGGGTGCTATAGGGGTCTGTGGGTGCTATAGGGGTCTATGGGGTGCTATAGGGGTCTGTGTGGTGCTATAGGGTCTATGGGTGCTATAGGGGTCAATGGGGTGCTATAGGGGTCTATGGGTGCTATAGGGGTCTATGGGGTGCTATAGGGATCTATGTGGTGCTATAGGGGTCTATGGGGTGCTATAGGGATCTGTGTGTTGCTATAGGGGTCTATGGGTGCTGTAGGGATCTATGTGGTGCTATAGGGGTCTATGGGTGCTATAGGGGTCTATGGGGTGCTATAGGGGTCTATGGGGTGCTATAGGGGTCTGTGGGGTGCTATAGGGGTCTATGGGGTGCTATAGGGGTCTATGGGTGCTATGGGGGTCTATGGGTGCTATAGAGGTCTATGGGTGCTATAGGGGTCTGTGGGGTGCTATAGGGGTCTGTGGGGTGCTATAGGGGTCTATGGGTGCTGTAGGGGTCTATGGGGTGCTATAGGGGTCTGTGGTTGCTGTTGGGGTCTATGGGTGCTATAGGGGTCTATGGGTGCTATAGGGGTCTATGGGTGCTATAGGGGTCTGTGGGTGCTATAGGGGTCCGTGGGTGCTATAGGGGTCTGTGGGGTGCTATAGGGGTCCATGGGTGCTATAGGGGTCTATGGGTGCTATAGGGGTCCGTGGGTGCTATAGGGGTCTGTGGGGTGCTATAGGGGTCCATGGGTGCTATAGGGGTCTATGGGTGCTATAGGGGTCTATGGGGTGCTATAGGGGTCTGTGGGTGCTGTAGGGGCCTGTAGGGGGTGCTGTGGGCGCTGACGCCGGGGGGGCAGCGCCGGGGGCGCAGCAGTTCTGTTTCCTGCTCTCGACACGGGCCGGGGGCCTCGGCATCAACCTGGCGACCGCCGACACCGTCGTCATCTTCGACTCCGACTGGAACCCACACAACGACATCCAGGTCCTGAGCACCCCCCACGGCGCCCAGCACCCACCTCCTCCACATACCGCATTTCTTATACCCCATACTCCTTATCCCATATCCCATATCCCATACCCCACAGCCCATATCCCATACCCCATATACCCATGCCCCATTCCCCATACCCCTTATCCCATAGCCCATTCCCCATACCCTATACCCCATATCCCATACCCCATATCCCATACCCCATACCCCACATCCCATTCCCCATGCCCCACACCCCATGCCCCACACCCCATTCCCCATACCCTATATCCCATATATCCATGCTCCATTCCCCATACCCCATATCCCATACCCCATATCTCATACCCCACATGCCATACCCCACATCCCATATCCCATACCCCGTGTCCCATACCCCACACCCCACTCCCCACACCCCATACCCCACACCCCATACCCCACACCCCATATCCCACATCCCACACCCCATATCCCATACCCCATATCCCACACCCCATACCCCACACCCCATATCCCACACCCCACACCCCATTCCCCATACCCCACACCCCATTCCCCATACCCCATGCCATCCCTATGACATCCCCTGCTGTTCCGTGTTTTCCCTTGTCCCTGCTCACACCCCATCACCATATCCCATCTCCCCACATCCCACCTGCCATATTCTGTATCCCAGGACATTCCATGTCCCATATCCCATGATGTCCCATGTTACCCCACTCCATCCCATGTTATCCCACTCCATCCCATGTTACCCCATGTTATCCCATGTTACCCCATGCCATCCCATGTTATCCCATGCCATCCCATGTTATCCCATGCCATCCCATGTTATCCCATGCCATCCCATGTTATCCCATGTTACCCCATGTTATCCCACGATACGCCATGTTACCCCACGTTACCCCATGTTACCCCATGCCATCCCATGCCATTCCATGTTATCCCATGTTATTCCATATTACCCCATGTTATCCCATGTTATCCCATGTTACCCCATGCCATCCCATGTTATCCCATGCCATTCCATGTTATCCCACCCCATCCCATGTTACCCCATGTTACCCCATGTTATCCCATGTTACCCCATGCTACCCCATGCCATCCCATGTTACCCCATGTTATCCCATGCCATCCCATGTTGTGCCGTCTCCCCCCCGTTGCAGGCGTTCAGCCGCGCGCACCGCATCGGCCAGCCCAACACCATGTCCCATGTCTCCATCCCGCTCCATCCCACGTTACCCCATGTTACCCCATGTTACCCCATGTTACCCCATGTTACCCCACGTTACCCCACGTTACCCCACGTTACCCCACATTACCCCACATTACCCCACATTACCCACGTTACCCCCTGACATGCCGTGTGCCCGTTGCAGGCGTTCAGCCGCGCGCACCGCATCGGCCAGCCCAACGCCATGTCCCATGTCTCCATCCTACTCCATCCCATGTTACCCCATGTTATCCCATGTTGCCCCACTCCATCCCATGTTGTCCCGTTACCCCATGATGTCCCATGTTATCCCATTACCCCATGACGTTCCATGTTATCCCATGTTACCCCACGTTATCCCACGTTACCCCACGATGTGCCATGTGCTCCCCCTCCCATTGTAGGCGTTCAGCCACGCGCACCGCATCGGCCAGGCCAACGCCATGTCCCATGTCTCCATCCCACTCCATCCCATGTTACCCCATGTTATCCCATGTTACCCCATGTTATCCCATGTTGCCCCACTCCATCCCATGTTGTCCCGTTACCCCATGATGTCCGATGTTATCCCGTTACCCCATGACGTTCCATGTTATCCCGTTACCCCATGACGTTCCATGTTATCCCATGTTACCCCATGTTACCCCATGTTACCCCATGTTATCCCATGTTGCCCTACTCCATCCCATGTTATCCTGTTACCCCATGACGTCGCATGTTACCCCATGACGTTCCATGTTACCCCGTGATGTCCCCGTTATCCCATGTTACCCCACGTTATCCCATGTTACCCCACGTTATCCCATGTTACCTCACGTTACCCCACGTTACCCCACAACGTGCCGTGCCCCCATTGCAGGCATTCCGCCACCCGCACCGCATTGGCCAGCCCAGCGCCATGTCCCATGTCTCCATCTCCCCACATCCCATTCCATCCCACATTACCCCACTCCATCCCATGTTACCCCATGTTACCCCACGTCACCCCACGTCACCCCCCGTCACCCCCTGACGTGCCGTGCGCCCGTTGCAGGCGTTCAGCCGCGCGCACCGCATCGGCCAGGCCAACAAGGTGATGATCTACCGGTTCGTGACGCGCGCGTCGGTGGAGGAGCGCATCACGCAGGTGGCCAAGCGCAAGATGATGCTCACGCACCTGGTGGTGCGCCCGGGGCTGGGCTCCAAGGCCGGCTCCATGTCCAAGCAGGAGCTCGACGACATCCTCAAGTTCGGCACCGAGGAGCTCTTCAAGGATGAGAACGAGGGTGAGGGCGGGGGTCGGCGTGGGGGGCACGGTGGGACGTGGGGGGCACGGTGGGACAGGGTTGGATGGCACGTGGGGGTCACAGTGGGACGTGGGGGTCACAGTGGGGCGGGTCACGGTGGGGCGTGGGGGTCACAGTGGGGCATGGGGGCCACAATGGGACGTGGGGGTCACAATGGGACGGGGTCATGATGGCACATGGGGGTCACGGTGGGGGGTGGGGGTCATGGTGGGGCATGGGGGTCACGGTGGGACGTGGGGGTCATGATGGGACGTGAAGGTCATGGTGGGACGTGAAGGTCACAGTGGGACATGGGGGTCACAATGGGACATGGGGGTCACAATGGGACATGGAGGTCATGGTGGGACATGGGGGTCACAATGGGACGTGGAGGTCATGGTGGGACATGGGGGTCACGATGGGACATGGGGGTCAAAATGGGACGTGAAGGTCATGATGGGACATGGGGGTCATGATGGGACATGGAGGTTATGGTGGGACATGATAGGGGTTATGATGTTGCATGGGGGTCACGATGGGTCATGGAGGTCACAATGGGGCATGGAAGTCATGGTGGGACATGGGGGTCACAATGGGGCATGGGCGTCATGATGGGACATGGGGGTCATGATGGGACATGGAGGTTATGGTGGGACATGGAGGTTATGGTGGGACATGGAGGTTATGGTGGGGCATGGTAGGGTTTATGATGTTGCATGGGGGTCACAATGGGACATGGGGTCACAATGGGACATGGGGGTCACAGTGGGGCATAGAAGTCATGGTGGGACATGGGGGTCGTGATGGGACGTGGAGTTCACAATGGGACATGGGGGTCACGATGGGACGTGGGGATCACGATGGGGCATGGGGGTCACGATGGGACATGGGGGTCACAATGGGACACGGAGGTCACAGTGGGACGTGGGGGTCACAATGGGACATGGAGGTCACAGTGGGACATGGGGGTCACAGTGGGACAGGGGGGTCACAATGGGGCATGGAGGTCACAGTGGAACATGGTAGGGGTTATGATGTTGCATGGGGGTCACAATGGGACATGGGGGTCACAGTGGGACATGGGGGTCACAATGGGGCATGGAGGTCACAGTGGGACATGGGGGTCACAATGGGGCATGGAGGTCACAGTGGGACAAGGGGGTCACAATGGCAAGCGGAGGTTATGGTGGGGCATGGTAGGGGTTATGATGTTGCATGGGGGTCACAATGGGACGTGGCGGTCACGATGGGACATGGAGGTCACAATGGGACATAGAGGTCACAATGGGGCATGGGGGTCATGATGGGACATGGGGGTTGCAATGGGACATGGGGGTCATGGTGGGGAATGGAGGTCACAGTGGGACGTGAAGGTCATGGTGGGACATGAAAGCCTGTGATGGGATATGGAAAGTTCTGGTGGGACATGGAAGGTCCTAATGGGACCATTTGGGGCCATATTTGGCTTCCTGAGGCTCTGTTGGACCATGTTCAGCCGTGTTGAAGCATGCCATGGCCATAGTGGGGCACGTTGGGCCATGCCAAGGCCATGGTGGGGCACGTTGGGGCATGCCAAGGCCTTGGTGGGGCACGTTGGGCCATGCCAAGGGCACGTTGGACCATGCCAAGGCCATGGTTGGCCTTGTTTGGCTCTGTTAAGGCCATGTTGGCCAATGCCAAGGCCATGTTGGGCCATGCCAAGGCCATGGTGGGTCTCGTTTGGCTCCGTTAAGGCCATGTTGGCCAATGCCATGGCCATGCCAAGGCCATGCTGGCCCGCATTGGCCCATATTGGCCCATGCCAAGCCTACGTTGGACTCTGTTGGCCCATGCTAAGGCCATGTTGACCCATGCCAAGGCCACATTGGCCCATGCTAAAGCCATGTTGGCTCACATTGGCCCGTGCTAAGGCCACATTGGCCCATGTTGGCCCATGCCAAGGCCACATTGGCCCATGCTAAAGCCATGTTGGCTCACATTGGCCCATGCTAAGGCCACATTGGCCCATTTTGGCCCATGCCAAGGCCACACTGGCCCATGCTAAAGCCATGTTGGCCCACATTGGCCCATGCTAAGGCCACATTAGCCTGTGTTGGCTCATGCTAAGGCCATGTTGGCTCACATTGGCCCATGCTAAGGCCATGTTGGCCCATGTTGGCCCATGCCAAGGCCATGTTGGCCCGCATTGGCCCACGCTGGCCCATGCCAAGGCCATGTTGGCCCACATTGGCCCATGCCAAGGTCACAATGGCCCATGCTAAAGCCATGTTGGTCCATATTGGCCCATGCTAAGGCCACATTGGCCCATGTTGGCCCATGCTAAGGCCATGTGGGCTCACATTGGCCCATGCTAAGGCCACATTGGCCCATGTTGGCCCATGCCAAGGCCATGTGGGCCCGCATTGGCCCACGCTGGCCCATGCCAAGGCCATGTTGGCCCGCATTGGCCCATGCCAAGGCCACATTAACCCGTGTTCGCCCTTGCTAAGGCCATGTTGGCTCACATTGGCCCATGCTAAGGCCACACTGGCTCATGCTAAGGCCACGTTGGCCCATGTTGGCCCATGCCAAGGCCATGTTGGCCCACATTGGCCCATGCCAAGGCCACATTGGCCCATGTTGGCCCGCATTGGCCCATGCTGGCCCATGCCAAGGCCATGTTGGCCCATGCTAAGGCCATGTTGGCCCACATTGGCCCACATTGGCCCATGCCAAGGCCACATTGGCCTATGCTAAAGCCATGTTGGCCCACATTGGCCCATGCTAAGGCCACATTGGCCCATGTTGGCCCATGCTAAGGTCACATTGGCCCTCATTGGCCCATGCTAAGGCCATGTTGGCCTGCATTGGCCCATGCCAAGGCCACATTGGCCCACATTGGCCCATGCTAAGGCCACATTGGCCCATGTTGACCCATGGTAAGGTCACATTGGCCCACGCCAAGGCCACATTGGTCCATGTTGGCCCATGCCAAGGCCATGTTGGCCCACATTGGCCCATGCTAAAGCCACGTTGGCCCATGCTAAGGCCACATTGGCCCGCATTGGCCCATGCTAAGGCCACATTGGTCCATGTTGGCCCGTGCCAAGTCCATGTTGGCCCGTGCCAAGTCCATGTTGGCTCACATTGGCCCATGCTAAGGCCATATTGGCCCATGTGGGCCCATGCCACGCGATGTGAGCCGCGTGATGCTGCGCAGGGGACAACAAGGAGGAGGACAGCAGTGTGATCCACTACGACAACGAGGCCATCGCGCGGCTCCTGGACCGCAACCAGGACGCCACCGACGACGCTGACGTGCAGAACATGAACGAGTACCTGAGCTCCTTCAAGGTGGCCCAGTACGTGGTGCGGGAGGAGGACAAGGTGAGCATGGCTAGGGTGATGGTGGAGGTGGTGGGGCAGTGGGGTGGGTGGGGTTGATGGAGGTGGTGGGGTTGATGGAGGTGATGGGATCAATGGGGTTGATGGAGATGATGGGACAGTGGGGTTGATGGAGATGATGGGGCTGGTGGAAGTGATGGGACAGTGGGGTTGATGGGAGTGATGGGGTTGATGGAGGTGATGGCGTTGATGGAGGTGATGGGGTTGATGGATGTGATGGGATCAATGGGGTTGAAAGGGATGGGAGGTGGAGATGAGGATGATGGAGATGATGTCGGTGAAGGGGATGAGTAGATTGAGGTAGGGATGGGGATGATGGAGAGGATGAGGATGAAGATGATGGGGATGAATAGATGGAGGTAGAGATGGGGATGATGGAGAGGATGAGGAGGAAGATGATGGAGATGAGTAGTTTGAGGTAGAGATGGGGATGATGGAGAGGATGAGGATGAAGATTGGGATGAGTAGATTGAGGCAGAGATGGGGATGATGGAGAGGATGAGGATGAAGATGATGGAGATGAGTAGTTTGAGGCAGAGATGGGGATGATGGAGAGGATGAGGATGAAGATGATGGAGATGAATAGATTGAGGTAGAGAGGGGGATGATGGAGAGGATGAGGATGATGGAGATGAGTAGATTGAGGTTGAGGTGGGGATGATGGACAGGATGAAGATGAAGATCAGGATGAGTAGATTGGGGTAGAGATGGGGATGATGGAGAGGTTGAGGATGAAGATGATGGAGATGAGTAGATTGAGATAGAGATGGGGATGATGGAGAGGTTGAGGATGAAGATGATGGAGATGAGTAGATTGAGGTAGAGATGGGGATGATGGAGAGGATGAGGATGAGGATCAGGATGAGTAGATTGAGGTAGAGATGGGGATGATAGAGAGGTTGAGGATGAAGATGATGGAGATGAGTAGATTGAGGTAGAGAGGGGGATGATGGAGAGGATGAGGATGATGGAGATGAGTAGATTGAGGTTGAGGTGGGGATGATGGACAGGATGAAGATGAAGATCAGGATGAGTAAATTGAGGTAGAGATGGGGATGATGGAGAGGATGAGGATGAAGATGATGGGGACAAGTAGATGGAGGTGATGGAGACAATGAGGCCGACGGAGGTGTTGGTGGGGCACACCGGAGAGGACGGAGCTGGTGCTGATGAGGATGGGAGATGCCATCGGAATGGGTGGATGTGGAGCTGGTGCTGACCCCCCCCCCCCCCCCCCAAATGGGTGCCCGTGGGTGCCTTTGGGTGCTCCTTGACCCCGTTGCGTGCCGGCAGATCGAGGAGATCGAGCGGGAGATCATCAAGCAGGAGGAGAACGTGGACCCCGACTACTGGGAGAAGCTGCTGCGGCACCACTACGAGCAGCAGCAGGAGGACCTGGCCCGCAACCTGGGCAAGGGCAAGCGCGTGCGCAAGCAGGTCAACTACAACGATGCGGCCCAGGAGGACCAAGGTGGGCACTGGGGTGGACTGGGAGGGACTGGGATGGACTGGGAGGGAGTGGGAGGGAGTGGGAGGCATTGGGAGGGCATTGCAAGGCATTGGAAGGGCCCTGGAAGGATCTAGGAGGCCCTGGCCCCCAGTGTGGGCACAAGGAGGTCAACTGCAGCAATGCGGCCCAGGAGGACCAAGGTGGGCACTGGGGTGGACTGGGAGGGACTGGGATGGAGTGGGATGGAGTGGGAGGCATTGGGAGGGCATTGCAAGGCATTGGAAGGGCATTGGAAGGATCTAGGAGGTCCTGGCCCCCAACGTGGGCACAAGGAAGTCAACTACAACGATGCGGCCCAGGAGGACCAAGGTGGGCACTGGGGTGGACTGGGATGGACTGGGAGGGAGTGGGAGGCATTAGGAGGGCATTGCAAGGCATTGGAAGGGCACTGGAAGGATCTAGGAGGCCCTGGCCCCCAACGTGGGCAGGTGCACAAGCAGGTCAACTACAACAATGCGGCCCAGGAGGACCAAGGTGGGCACTGGGTTGGACTGGGATGGAGTGGGTTAGGCTGGGATGGAATGGTATAGACTGGGATGGACTGGGAGGCATTGGAAGGATCTAGGAGGCCCTGGCATCCAACGTGGGCAAGGGCACAAGGAGGTTGACGACAACTATGTGGCCCAGCAGGACCAAGGTGGGCCCTGGGATAGACTGGGATAGACTGGGATGGAGTGGGAGGCATTGGAAGGGCACTGCAAGGCATTGGAAGGGCATTGGAAGGATCTAGGAGGCCCTGGCCCCCAACGTGGGCACAAGGAGGTCGACTACAACTATGTGGCCCAGGAGGACGAAGCTGGGCACTGGGATGGACTGGGATGCACTTGGATAGACTGGGATGGACTGAGATGCACTGAGGTGGACTGGGATGGACTGGGAGGCATTGGGAGGGCATTGCAAGGCGTTGGAAGGGCACTGGAAGGATCTAGGAGGCCCTGGCCCCCAACATGGGCACAAGGAGGTCAACTACAATGATGCGGCCCAGGAGGACCAAGGTGGGCACTGGGGTGGACTGGGATGGAATGGGTTAGACTGGGATGGAGTGCTAGAGACTGGGATGGACTGGGAGGCATTGGAAGGATCTTGGAGGCCCTGGCATCCAACGTGGGCAAGGGCACAAGGAGGTCAACTACAACGATGCGGCCCAGGAGGACCAAGGTGGACACTGGGATGGACTGGGATGGAGTGGGTTAGGCTGGGATGGAATGGTATGGACTGGGATGGACTGGGAGGCACTGGAAGGATCTAGGAGCCCTGGCATCCAACGTGGGCAAGGGCACAAGGAGGTCAGCTACAATGATGCGGCCCAGGAGGACGAAGCTGGGCATTGGGGTGGACTGGGATGGAGTGGGAGGGAGTGGGAGGCATTGGAAGGGCACTGTAAGGCATTGGAAGGGCACTGGAAGGATCTAGGAGGCCCTGGCCCCCAAAGTGGGCGCAAGGAGGTCAACTACAACTATGTGGCCCAGGAGGACCAAGGTGGGCACTGGGATGGACTGGGATGCACTTGGATAGACTGGGATGGACTGAGATGCGCTGGGGTGGACTGGGATGGACTGGGAGGCATTGGGAGGGCATTGCAAGGCATTGGAAGGGCACTGGAAGGATCTAGGAGGCCCTGGCCCCCAAAGTGGGCACAAGGAGGTCGACGACAACTATGTGGCCCAGCATGACCAAGGTGGGCACTGGGATGGAGTGGTATAGACTGGGATGGAATGGGAGGCATTGGAAGGATCTAGGAGGCCCTGGTCCCCAACCTGGGCAAGGGCACAAGGAGGTCTACTGCAACGATGCGGCCCAGGAGGACCAAGGTGGGCACTGGGATGCACTGGGATGGACTGGGAGGCATTGGAAGGATCTAGGAGGCCTTGGCCCCCAACGTGGGCACAGGGAGGTCAACCGCAGCGATGCGGCCCAGGAGGACCAAGGTGGGCACTGGGATGCACTGGGAGGTGGTGTTGGGTGCCGTTGGGTGCTATTGGGTGCCGTTGGGTGCCATTGGGTGCTATTGGGTGCCGTTGGGTGCTGTCCATGGTGCTGACGGTGTCCCCCAGATAACCAGTCCGAGTACTCGGTGGGCTCCGAGGAGGAGGACGAGGACTTCGATGAGCGGCCCGAGGGTGAGAGCCCCCCCCCCCCCCCCCTGGCCCCCCATGGCCCCCCCATGTCCCCTTGTGTCCCCCCATGGCCCCCATCCTGTGTCCCTTTGTGTGTCCCCCTCCATGTCCTCCTGTGTTTCCCCATGTGTCTCCCTGTCTGGGGAGGGGGGGACCCACATGTGGGGGTCAGGGTGCTACAGGGAGGGTTGAGGTGCTATAGGGTATGTCAGGGTCCCATAGGGGTGTCAGGGTGCTATATAGGAGGTCAGGGTGCTATAGAGGGGGGTCAGGGTGCTACAGGGGGGGTTGACGTGCTACAGGGGGTGTCAGGGTCCCATAGGGATGCCATGGTGCAATATGGGGGTTCAGGGTGCTATATGCGGGTGAGGGTGCCATAGGGGTGTCATAGTGCTATAGTGGGTGTCGGTGTCCCATAGCAGTGTCATGGTGCTATAGAGGGGGTCAGGGTGCCATAGTGGGTGTCAGTGTCCCATCGCAGTGTCATGGTGCTATATAGGGGGTTAGGGTGCCATAGTGGGTGTCAGTGTCCCATAGCAGTGTCATGGTGCTATATAGGGGGTTAGGGTGCCATAGGGGTGTCGTCGTGCTATATAGGGGGTCCGAGTGCTATAGTGGGTGTCAGTGGGTGTCCCATAGCAGTGTCATGGTGCTATAGAGGGGGTCAGGGTGCCATAGGGGTGTCATGGTGCCATATAGGGGGTCAGGGTGCCATGGGTGTGTCAGTGTCCCATAGCAGTGTCATGGTGCCATAGAGGGGGTCAGGGTGCCATAGTGGGTGTCACTGTCCCATAGCAGTGTCATGGTGCTATAGAGGGGGTCATGGTGCTATAGTGGGTGTCAGTGTCCCATAGCAGTGTCATGGCACTACACAAGGGGTCTGGGTGCCATAGGGGTGCTCGCGATGCTCTGGGGTGCTCTCCGGGTGCCATAGGTGGGTGCTGACCCCCTTGTCCCCCCCCAGGCCGCCGTCAGTCCAAGCGGCAGCTCCGCAATGAGAAGGACAAGCCCCTGCCGCCGCTGCTGGCCCGGGTCGGGGGCAACATCGAGGTGAGGACATGGGGGCACCCCACAGCGGCCCCATAGAACCCCCTCTGCGGTCCCCTGTCCCCATAGACCCCATCCCCAATGTCCCCAATGTCCCAATCTCCATAGACCCCATAGACCCCATCCCGAGAGCCCCTGGTATCCCTATAGACCCCATCCCAATATCCCCATCCCCATAAACACCATCCCAATGTCCCTATCCCCATAGACCCCATCCCCAGTGTCCCTATCCCCATAGACCCCATCCCCAATGTCCCCACCCCCATAGACCCCATCCCCAATGTCCCCAATGTCCCCATCCCCATAGACCCCATCCCCAATGTCCCCATCCCCATAGACCCCATCCCAATGTCCCCAATGTCCCCATCCCTGTAGACCCCGTCCCCAATGTCCCCATCCCCATAGACCCCATCCAAATGTCCCCATCCCCGTAGACCCCATCCCCAATGTCCCCAGTGTCCATATGCCCAGAGGACCTTGTCCCCATGGTCCCCATCCTCAATGGCCCCAAATGTCCCATGGGTGGGGGGTCAGGGTGCCATGGGGAAGACCACAACACAAAGGGCGGATATGGGACATGCTGGGTGTCACCCATTGACACCCATTGACGTGTGTTATCACCCATTGATGCCCATTGATGCCCATTGCCCCCATTGTCCCCATTGCCCTCATTGCCTCCATTGTCCCCATTGTCCCGTTGCCCCATTGCCCCCATTGTCCCCATTACCCCCATTGTTCTCATCACCCTCATTGTCCCCATTACCCCCATTGTCCCCATTACCCCCATTGTCCCCATTACCCCATTGCCCCCATTGTCCCATTGCCCCATTGCCCCCATTACCCTCATTGTCCCCATTACCCCCATTGTCCCCATTGCTCCCATTGCCCCCATTACCCCCGTTGCCCCCATTACCCCATTGTCCCCATTACCCCCATTGCTCCCCTTGTGTACCCATTGTCCCCATTGCTCCCATTGTCCCCATTGCTCCCATTGCCCCCATTACCCTGTTGCCCCCATTACCCCCATTGCTCCCATTGTCCCCATTACCCCCATTGTCCCCATTGCCCTATTGCCCCCATTGTCCCCATTACCCCCGTTGCCCCCATTACCCCCATTGTGTCCCCATTGTCCCCATTGCTCCCATTGTCCCCATTGCCCCCCCATTGCTCCCATTGTCCCCATTACCCCCATTGCCCCCATTGCCCCCCTTGTCCCCATTTCCCCCATTACCCCCATTGCCCCCATTGCTCCCATTGCTCCCATTGCCCCCGCAGGTGCTGGGGTTCAACACGCGGCAGCGCAAGGCCTTCTTGAACGCGGTGATGAGGTGGGGGATGCCCCCCCAGGACGCCTTCACCTCCCAATGGCTCGTGCGGGACCTGCGTGGCAAGAGCGAGAAGGAGTTCAAGTGGGTGCCAATGGGGGCAATGGGGGGCAATGGGGACAATGGGGGTAATGGGGACAATGGGGGCAATGGGGTTAATGGGGGCAATGGGGGTAATGGGGCAATAGGGACAGTGGGGACAATGGGGATGGGAGACACAGGGTGGTGGTATCAGGTATGTCCCCCATTGCCCCCCATAGTCCCCATTGCCCCTATTGCCCCCTCTGCCCCCCATTGCCCCCAGCCACATGATGAGCCCTTACTCATCCCAGCGCCAACAAGAGTCGGGTTCCTGGGGGCCGGACGAGCCCGTGCCCCCCTCACCCCGACACAAAGTCACCCCCGGGGTCCCCCTGTGCCCCCCGGGGGGCCGGTGCTGGCCTTGGGGTCAACCAGAGCGGTGGCAGGACCTGGCCGGGGCCGGCACAGGCCATGGGGCGCTGTGAGGAGGGGACAGGCTGATGGCAAAGGGACAGTGGGGGCAATGGGGGTAATGGGGACACTGGGGACAATGGGGGCAATGGGGACAATGGGGGTAATGGGAGCTTTGGGGACAATGGGGGTAATGGGGGCAGTGGGGACAATGGGCGTAATGGGGGCAATGGAGACAATGGGGACAGGGAGTCTGGGGACAATGTCCCTAGTTATGGGGAGACTGGGTGCAGGCTCTATGGGTTCTGTGGACACAGGCTCTATGTGCTCTGTGGGTGTCAATGGGCTCTGTGGGTGTCAATGGACTCTATGAGTGTCAATAGATTCTGTGTGCTCTATGGGTGTCAATGGACTCTATGGGAGTCAGTGGGTGTCAGTGGGCTCTATGGGTGTCAATGGGCTCTATGGGTGTCAATAGATTCTGTGTGCTCTATGGGTGTCAATGGGCTCTGTGGGTCTCAATGAGCTCTATGGGCTTCAATGGGCTCTATGGGTGTCAGTGTGCTCTCTGGGTGTCAGTGGGCTCTCTGGGTGTCAATGGACTCTATGAACTGTATGGGTGATCAATATGCTCTATGGGTGTCAATGGACTCTATGGGTCCCAATGGGCTCTCTGAGCTCTATGGGTGTCAAAATGTTCTATGGGTTTCAATGTGTTTTACGGGTGTCAATAGACTCTGTGCTCTATGGGTGTCAATGGACTCTGTGGGTCCCAATGGGCTCTATGAGCTCTATGAGTGTCAATATGTTCTATGGGTGTCAACTTGCTCTATGGGTGTCAATAGACTCTGTGTGCTCTATGGGTGTCAGTGGGCTCTATGGGTCCCAATGGGCTCTATGGGTCCCAATGGGCTCTAGGAGCTCTATGGGTGTCAGTGGATGTCAATGGGCTCTATGGGTGTCAATAGGCTCTACAGGTGCCAGTGGGTGTCTGTGCTCTATGGGTGTCAATGTGCTCTATGGGTCCCAATGGGCTCTAGGAGCTCTATGGGTGATCAATATGCTCTGTGGGTGTCAATGGACTCTATGGGTCTCAATGAGCTCTATGACCTCTGTGAGTGTCAATGGGCCCTATGGGTCTCAATGAGCTCTATGACCTCTATGGGTCTCAGTGAGCTCTATGACCTCTGTGGGTGTCAGTGAGCTCTATGGGTGTCAGTGGGTATCAATGTGCTCTATGGGTGCCAATGGGCTCTCTGGGTGTCAATGGACTCTATGAACTCTATGAGTGTCAACGTGCTCTGTGGGTGTCAATGGACTCTGTATGTTCTATGGGTGTCAATGGACTCTATGGGTCCCAGTGGGCTCTATGAGCTCTATAGGTGCCAGTATGCTCTATGGGTGTCAGCGTGCTCTATGAGTGTCAATGGGCTCTATGGGTGTCAACGTGCTGTATGAGTGTCAATGGGCTCTATGGGTGTCAATGGACTCTATGAACTCTATGGGTGATCAGTATGCTCTATGGGTGTCAACGTGCTCTGTGGGTGTCAATAGACTCTGTAGGCTCTATGGGTGTCAATGGGCTCTATGGGTCCCAATGGGCTCCATGAGCTCTATGGGTGATCAATATGCTGTATGGGTGTCAACATGCTCTGTGGGTGTCAATAGACTCTGTAGGCTCTATGGTTGTCAATGGGTGTCAATAGACTCTGTGTGCTCTATGGGTGTCAATGGACTCCGTGGGTCCCAATGAGCTCTGTGAGCTCTATGAGTGTCAATATGTTTTATGGGTGTCAGTAGACTCTGTGTGCTCTGTGGGTGTCAATGGACTCTATGGGTCCCAGTGGGCTCTATGAGCATTATGGGTGTCAGTGTGCTGTACAGGTGTCAATGTGCTCTGTGGGTGTCAATGGACTCTACAGGTCTCAATGAGCTCTATGAGCTCTGTGGGTGTCAATGTGCTCTATGGGTGTCAATGGGTGTCAGTGTGCTCTATGGTTATCAGTGGTCTCTATGGGTGTCAATGGGCTCTATGGGTGTCAGTGGGCTCTGTGGGTGTCAATGGGCTTTATGGGTGTCAGTGGGTGTTAATGGGTGTCAGTGTGCTCTGTGGTTGTCAGTGGGCTCTATGGGTGTCAATGAGCTCTATGGTTTTCAGTAGTTGTCAGTGTGTGTCAATGGGTGTGAATGCGCTCTATGGTTGTCAGTGGGCTCTATGGGTGTCAATGTGCTCTGTGGGTGTCAGTGGGTGTCAATGGGTGTCAGTGGGTGTCAGTGGTGTCCTCTGCAGAGGTCCCTGTTCATGCGGCACCTCTGTGAGCCTGGGGAGGGCTCTATGGTTCTCAATGTGCTCTAGGGGCTCTGTGGGTGTCAGTGGGCTCTATGGGTGTCAATGGGCTCTGTGGATGTCAATGGGTGCCAGTGCTGTCCCCTGCAGAGCCTACATGTCCCTGTTAATGCGGCACCTCTGCGAGCCTGGGGAGGGCGCTATGGGTCTCAATGTGCTCTAGGGGCTCTGTGGGTGTCAGTGGGCTCTATGGGTGTCAATGGGCTCTGTGGATGTCAATGGGTGACAGTGTGCTCTATGGTTGTGAGTGGGCTCTATTGGTGTCAATGGGTGTCAGTGGGTGTCAAGGGGTGTCCAGGGGCTCTATGGGTGTCAGTGGGCTCTATGGGTGTCAGTGGGCTCTATGGGTGTCAGTGGTCTCTATGGGTGTCAACAGGTGTCAATGGGTGTCAATGGGTGCCAGTGCTGTCCCCTGCAGAGCCTACATGTCCCTGTTCATGCGGCACCTCTGCGAGCCTGGGGAGGGCGCTATGGGTCTCAATGTGCTCTAGGGGCTTTATGGGTGTCAGTGGGTGTCAATGGGCTCTATGGGTGCCAGTGGGTGTCAATGGGCTCTATGGTTGTTAGTGGGTGTCAATGGGCTCTATGGGTGTTAGTGGGTGTCAGTGGGCTCTATGGGTGTCAATGGGCTCTATGGGTGTCAAGGGGTGTGAGTGTGCTCTATGGTTGTGAGTGGGCTCTATTGGTGTCAGTGGGTGTCAATGGGCTCTATGGGTGTCATGGGTGTCAATGTGCTCTATGGGTGTCGGTGTCAGTGTGCTCTATGGTTGTCAGTGGGCTCTGTGGGTGTCAATGGGCTCTGGGTGTCAGTGGGCTTTATGGGTGTCAATGGGTGTCAGTGGCCTCTATGGGTGTCAGTGGCCTCTATGGGTGTCAAAGGGCTCAACGGGCTCAATGGATGTCAGTGTGCTCTATGGGTGTCAGTGGTTGTCAATGGGTATCAATGGTCTCTATGGGTGTTAGTGGGTGTCAATGGGCTCTGTGGGTGTCAGTGGGTGTCGATGGGTGTTGATGGGTGTCAATGGGCTCTATGGGTGCCAATGGGTGTCAATGGGCTCTGTGGGTGTCAGTGGGTGTCCCCGGGTGTCCCCGGGTGTCCCGGGTGTCCCTGGGTGTCAGTGGGTGTCCATTGGTGTTCCTGGGTGTTCATGGGTGTCCCTGGGTGTCCCCAGGTGTCCCGGGTGTCCCTGGGAGTCAGTGGGTGTCCATTGGTGTCCCTGGGTGTCCCTGGGTGTCCATGGGTGTCCCTGGGTGTCCCCAGGTGTCCCGGGTGTCCCTGGGTGTCAGTGGGTGTCCATTGGTGTCCCGGGTGTCCCTGGGTGTCCCTGGGTGTCCCTGAGTGTCCCCAGGTGTCCCGGGTGTCAGTGGGTGTCCATTGGTGTCCCTGGGTGTTCATGGGTGTCCATTGGTGTCCCTGGGTGTCCCGGGTGTCCCTGGTTGTCCCCGGGTGTCCATGGGTGTCCCTGGGTGTCAGTGGGTGTCCATGGTGTCTCTGGTGTCCCTGGTGTCCATGGGTGTCCCTGGGTGTCCATGGTGTCCATGGTGTCCATGGGTGTCCCTGGTGTCCATGGTGTCCCTGGCTGTCCCTGGGTGTCCCTGGTGTCCATGGGTGTCCCTGGTGTCCATGGTGTCCCTGGTGTCCATGGTGTCCCTGGGTGTCCATGGTGTCCCTGTGTCCCTGCAGAGCCTACGTGTCCCTGGTGTCCATGGGTGTCCCTGTGTCCATGGGTGTCCCTGCAGAGCCTACGTGTCCCTGGGTGTCCCTGGGTGTCCATGGGTGTCCATGGGTGTCCATGGGTGTCCCTGTGTCCATGGGTGTCCATGGGTGTCCCTGGGTGTCCCTGGGTGTCCATGGGTGTCCCTGTGTGTCCCTGGGTGTCAGTGGGTGTCCCTGGGTGTCCATGGTGTCCATGGGTGTCCCTGTGTCCCCGCAGAGCCTACGTGTCCCTCTTCATGCGTCACCTGTGCGAGCCGGGCGCCGACGGCTCGGAGACCTTTGCGGACGGGGTCCCCCGGGAGGGGCTGTCCCGGCAGCAGGTCCTCACCCGCATCGGGGTCATGTCCCTCGTCAAGAAGAAGGTACCAGCACCCATGGGTGCCCCCGGGCCCACAGCCCCCAGCCCTATGGGTGCCCCCCACCCGTGGGTGCTCCTGGCCCCTGCTTCCGCCTATGGGCAGCCCCCAGCCCTATGGGTGCCGCCCATCCGTGGGTGCTCTGTGTTCCCATCCATGGGTGCTCCTTGATTCCCCCTATGGGTGCCGCCCATCCATGGGTGCTCCTTGTTTCCCCCTATGGGTGCCACCCATCCGTGGGTGCTCTGTGTTCCCATCCATGGGTGCTCCTTGATTCCCCCTATGGGTGCCTCCCATCCATGGGTGCTCCTTGTTTCCCCCTATGGGTGCCGCCCATCCATGAGTGCTCCTTGTTTCCCCCTATGGGTGCCACCTATCCATGGGTGCTCTGTGTTCCCATCCATGGGTGCTCCTTGTTTCCCCCTATGGGTGCCACCCATCCATGGGTGCTCCTTGTTTCCCCTATGGCTGCCTCCCATCCATGGGTGCTCCTTGTTCCCTCCTATGGGTGCCTCCCATCCATGGGTGCTCCTTGTTCCCCCTATGGGTGCCTCCCATCCATGGGTGGTCTGTGTTCCCATCCATGGGTGCTCCTTGTTTCCCCCTATGGGTGCCCCCACCTATGGGTGCCCCGCGGCCTCCGCTTACCCCCATGGGCACCCCCCCAACATTTGGGTGCCTCCCATCCATGGGTGCTCCTTGTTTCCCCTATGGGTGCTTCCCATCCATGGGTGCTCCTTGGTCCCCCTATGGGTGCCTCCCATCCATGGGTGCTCCTTGTTTCCCCTATGGGTGCTTCCCATCCATGGGTGCTCCTTGTTCCCCCTATGGGTGCCTCCCATCCATGGGTGCTCCTTGTTTCCCCCTATGGGTGCCACCCATCCATGGGTGCTCCTTGTTTCCCCTATGGGTGCCTCCCATCGATGGGTGCTCCTTGTTTCCCTCTATGGGTGCCTCCCATCGATGGGTGCTCCTTGTTTCCCCTATGGGTGCCTCTCATCCATGGGTGCTCCTTGTTCCCCCTATGGGTGACCGCACCTGTGGGTGCCTCCCAGCCTCTGCTTACCCCCATGGGCACCCCCCAACCTTTTGGGTGCCTCCCACCCATGGGTGCCTCCCGGCCTCCGGTTCTCCCCGTGGGCACCCCCAGCCCTATGGGTGCTTCCCATCCATGGGTGCTCCTTGTTTCCCCCTGTGGGTTCCCCCCACCCATGAGTGCCCCTGTGGGTGCCCCCCCATGGGTGTCCCCCCACATGGGTGTCCCTATCTATGGGTCGTCCCCTCCATGGGTGCCCCCCTCCATGGGTGCCCCCCACCATGGTTCCCCCCCACCATGGGTGCCCCTATCTATGGCTGCCCCTGTCCATGGGTGCCTCCTCCATGGGTGCCGCTGTCCCTGGTTCCCCCACCCATGGGTGCCCCTATCCATGGGTCCCCCTTCCCATGGGTGCCCCTATCTATGGGTGCCCTTATCTATGAGTGCCCCCAACCATGGGTACCCCCATGGGTGCCCCTATCTATGGGTGTCCCTATCTATGGGTCCCCCTTCCCATGGGTGCCCCTATCTATGGGTGCCCTTATCTATGAGTGCCCCCACCCATGGGTACCCCCATGGGTGCCCCTATCTATAGGTGCCCTTATCTATGAGTGCCCCCAACCATGGGTACCCCCATGGGTGCCCCTATCTATGGGTGTCCCTATCTATGGGTCCCCCTTCCCATGGGTGCCCCTATCTATGGGTGCCCTTATCTATGAGTGCCCCCACCCATGGGTACCCCTATCTATGGGTGCCCCTATCTATGGGCCCCCTTCCCATGGGTGCCCCTATCTATGGGTCCCCCTTCCCATGGGTGCCCCTATCTATGGGTGTCCCTATCTATGGGTCCCCCTTCCCATGGGTTTCCCTCTCTATGGGTGCCCCTATCTATGGGTGCCCTTATCTATGGGTCCCCCTTCCCATGGGTGGTGCCCCTATCGATGGGTCCCCCCCCATGGGTGCCCCTATCTATGGGTGCCCCTATCCATGGGTCCCCCCCCATGGGTGCCCCTGTCTATGGGTGCCCCTATCTATGGGTGCCCCTATCTATGGGTCCCCCTTCCCATGGGTGGTGTCCCTATCCATGGGTCCCCCCCCCATCGGTGCCCCTATCTATGGGTCCCCCTTCCCATGGGTGGTGCCCCTATCCATGGGTCCCCATCCCATGGGTGCCCCTATCTATGGGTTCCCCTTCCCATGGGTGGTGTCCCTACCCATGGGTCCCCCCCCCCATGGGTGCCCCTGTCTATGGGTGCCCCCTACCCATGGGTGCCCCTATCTATGGGTGCCCCTATCTATGGGTGCCCCTATCTATGGGTCCCCCTTCCCATGGGTGGTGTCCCTATCCATGGGTCCCCCCCGCCATGGGTGCCCCTGTCTATGGGTGCCCCCCACCCATGGGTGGTGTCCCTATCCATGGGTCCCCCCCGCCATGGGTGCCCCTGTCTATGGGTGCCCCCCACCCATGGGTGGTGTCCCTATCCATGGGTCCCCCCCCCCCCCCATGGGTGCCCCTATCTATGGGTGCCCCCCACCCATGGGTGCCCCCCCTCAGGTGCAGGAGTTCGAGCACATCAACGGGCGCTGGAGCCTCCCGGAGCTGCCCCCGGAGCCCAGCGCCGCCGACTCCAAGCGCTCGTCCCGGGCCTCGTCCCCCGCCAGGACCGGGCCCCCCAGCCCCGAGCACAGCGGCCCCCCCAGCCCCGCCCCACACAGCCCCGGTAACGGCACTGGGGGGGGGATTATGGGATGGGGGGGGGGTGGGGATTGTGGGATGTGGGGGGTGGGGGGTGGGGTATGGGATATGGGGTGTGGGGTATGGGATGTATGGGATATGGGGTATGGGATGTATGGGATATGGGGTATGGGGTATGGGATATGGGGTATGGGGTGTGGGGTATGGGATATGGGGTATGGGATGTATGGGATATGGGGTATGGGGTATGGGATATGGGGTATGGGATAGGGGGTGGGGGGTATGGGGTATCGGATATGGGGTATGGAATATGGGGTATGGGGTATGGGATATGGGGTATGGGATGTATGGGATATGGGGTATGGGATATGGGGTATGGGGTATGCGTATGGGGTGGGGGGTATGGGGTATCGGATATGGGGTATGGGATATGGGGTATGGGATATGGGGTGGGGGGTATGGGGTGTCGGTATGGGGTATGAGATATGGGGTACGGGGTACGGGGTATGGGATATGGGTCACGGGATATGGGGTATGGGATATGGGGTATGGGGTATGCGATATGGGGTGGGGGGTATGGGGTATCGGATATGGGGTATGGGATATGGGGTATGGGGTATGGGATATGGGGTATGGGATATGGGGTGGGGGGTATGGGGTATCGGTATGGGGTATGAGATATGGGGTACGGGGTATGGGATATGGGTCACGGGATATGGGGTATGGGATATGGGGTACGGGGTGTGGGGTATGAGGTATGGCTGTGGGAATGGGGATGCGGAATGGACAGGAATGAAGGGGCAGGATGGGGATATAGGGGACATAATGGTGGGAGCAGGATGGGGTACATCCCATCCACAGGGGTTAGGATGTGGGTGCAGGGGATGTGGGGATACATGGGGATGGGTGTGGGATGGGATACAGGGGAGATGGGGCGATATAGGGGTGGGGAATACAGGGAATATGGGGATATGGAGACAGGATTGGGATGCAGGGTACATAGGGGTACATGGGGATGGGATGCAGGGTACATAGGGGTACATGGGGATGGGATGCAGGGGACATAGGGGTACATGGGGATGGGATGCAGGGACAGGATGGGGATGCAGGGTACATGGGGTACATGGGGATGGGATGCAGGATACATGGGGGTGCATGGGGATGGGATGCAGGGACAGGATGGGGATGCAGGGTACATAGGGGTACATGGGGATGGGATGCAGGGGACAGGATGGGGATGCAGGGTACATAGGGGTACATGGGTTTGGGATGCAGGGACAGGATGGGGATGCAGGGTACATAGGGGTACATGGCGATGGGATGCAGGGGGCAGGATGGGGATGCAGGGTACATAGGGGTACATGGGGATGGGATGCAGGGTACATAGGGGTACATGGGGATGGGATGCAGGATACATAGGGGTACATGGGTATGGGATGCAGGGGACAGGATGGGGATGCAGGGCACATGGAGGTACATGGGGATGGGATGCAGGGGGCAGGATGGGGATGCAGGGCACATGGGGGTACATGGGGATGGGATGCAGGATACATAGGGGTACATGGGTATGGGATGGAGGGGACAGGATGGGGATGCAGGGTACATAGGGGTACATGGGGATGGGATGCAGGGGACAGGATGGGGATGCAGGGTACATAGGGGTACATGGGGATGTGATGCAGGGTACATAGGGGTACATGGGGATGGGATACAGGGACAGGATGGGGGTGCAGGGTACGAAGTCCACGAGGGACCAGGATGGTGACGTGGGACGGGTACGGGGTTTGGGGACGTCCCCCATCCCATAATACCCCTCCGTCCCCTCTCCCCAGCCACGCCAGCCCCCAGCGAGCGCGGGGACGGGCCGGGGCCCCCCCAGGACAGGGACCATGGGGACCCCAACAGGGACGAGAAGGAGCCCAAAGGTGCCGAGAAGATGGAGCCCGAGGTGGGTGACGGCGACGGCCCCCATGGGGGCCCCGGTCCCCTATGGGTGTCCATAGGGGCTGACGCCAGCCCCCCCCCCCGTGTCCCCTATGGCAGCCGCCGGTCCCCGAGGTGCCCCCATCGCCCGGTGACGGCAGCGAGGCCGAGGGGATGCGCAAGGGGGAGGAGGAAGAAGGACCCGGCCACAGGGAGCCCGAGGCCGAAGGGACCGCGGCCCGCGAGGAACGAGCGGGTGAGGGACCCCCGCATCCCATAATACCCTGTGTGCCATAATAACACATCATATCCCATTATATCCCATCGTATCCTGTAATATCCCATAATATCCTACATCCCATAGTGCCCCATATCCCATCATATCCCATAATATCCCATATCCCCTAATAACCCATCGTATCCTATATCCCATAATATCCCATATTCCATCATATCCCATCATACCTCATAACATCCCTATTCCATAATACCCCGTATCCCATAATATCCCATCGTATTCCATAATATCCCATTGTATTCCATAATATCCCCTATCCCATAATATCCCATAATACCCTATATCCCATAATATCCCATAATACACCATATCCCATAATACCCCATCATATTCCATAAGATCCCATATCCCATAATATCCCATAACGCACCATATCTCATATCCCATAATATCCCATCATATTCCATAATATCCCATAATACCCTATATCCCATAATACCCCATAATATCCCATATCCCATAATACCCCATATCCCATAATATCCTGTATCCCATAATATCCCATAATGTCTCATGTCCTGTAATATCCCATAATACCCTGTAATACCCCATAGTATCCCATACCACCCCGTGACACCCCATAATACTCCATGACATCCCATAATACCCGATGTTACCACCTGCCACCCCATAATACCCCTGACACCCCATGTTACCCCCTGACATCCCGTAATACCCCATGTTACCCCGAAACCCCATGTTACTCCCTGACATCCCATAATACCCCATGTTACCCCCTGACGCCCCATGTTACCCCCTGACACCCCATAATACCCCATGTTACACCCTGACACCCCATGTTACCCCCGACACCCCATAATACCCCATGTTACCCCCTGACATCCCATAATACCCCCTGACACCCCATGACACCCCATGTTACCCCTGACACCCCATAATACCCCTGACATCCCATAACACCCCATGTTACCCCTGACATCCCATAATACCCCATAATACCCCTGACACCCCATAATACCCCTGACATCCCATAATACCCCTGACACCCCATGTTACCCCTGACACCCCATAATACCCCTGACATCCCATAACATCCCATAATACCCCTGACATCCCATAATACCCCTGACATCCCATAACACCCCATAATACCCCTGGCACCCCATAATACCCCTGACGCCCCATAACACCCCATAATACCCCTGACATCCCATAATACCCCATAATACCCCTGACATCCCATAATACCCCTGACACCCCATAATACCCCTGACATCCCATAATACCCCTGACACCCCATGTTACCCCTGACACCCCATAATACCCCTGACATCCCATAATACCCCTGACACCCCATAATACCCCTGACATCCCATAACATCCCATAATACCCCTGACACCCCATAATACCCCTGACATCCCATAATACCCCTGACACCCCATAATACCCCTGACATCCCATAATACCCCTGACACCCCATAATACCCCTGACATCCCATAATACCCCTGACACCCCATAACACCCCATAATACCCCTGACACCCCATAATACCCCTGACACCCCATAATACCCCTGACATCCCATAATACCCCTGACATCCCATAACACCCCATAATACCCCTGACACCCCATAATACCCCTGACATCCCATAATACCCCGCAGGCCCGGAGCCCCCCCCTGCAGACAAAGCCGAGGAGAAGCCCCCGGACGAGGACCCCAAGGAGCGGGGGGGGGACCCCGACCACAAACGAGGTGCCGGGGGGCGGGGCTTGGCCTGTGGGGGTGGAGCTTAGCCAAAGGGGGTGGAGCTTAGCATATGGGGGTGGAGATTATCCAATTGGGGGGGGGCATGGTTTAGCCTGTGGGGGCGTGGCTTAGCCTATGGGGTGGAGTTTAGCCTAGGGGTGGAGCTTACCCGATGGGGGTGGAGCTTAACATAGGGGCGTGGTTTAGCCTGTGGGGGGCGTGGCTTTGCCTATGGGGTGGAGCTTAGCCTGTTCAGGTGGAGCTTAGCCAATGGGGGTGGAGCTTTGCCTATGGGGGTGGAGCTTAGCCTAGGGGGCATGGCTTAGGCTATGGGGTGGAGCTTAGCCTATGGGGGGGCGTGGCTTAATCTATGGGGGCATGGCTTAGCCTATGGGGATGTGGTTTAGCCTTTGGGGGTGGAGCTTAGCCTATGGGGGCGTGGCTTAGTATCTGGGGGTGGAGCTTAGCCTAGGGGGCGTGGGTTAGCTTATGGAGGGTGTGGCTTAGTCTGTGGGGTGGAGCTTAGCCTATGGGGGCGTGGTTTAGCATGTGGTGGGTGCGGCTTAGCCTATGGGGGTGGAGCTTAGCCTGTGGGGGTGTGGCTTAGCATATGGGGGTGGAGCTTACCCTGGGGGCGTGGCTTAGCCTATGGAGGGTGGGGCTTAGCCTAGGGGGGCGTGGCTTAGCCTATGGATGGTGTGGCTTAGCCTATGGGGGTGGGGCTTATCCTATGGGCGTGGAGATTAGCATAGGGGGCATGGCTTAGCCTAGGGGGGCGTGGCTTAGCCTATGAGGGGGGCGTGGCTTGTCTCCTCCTTTTCCTCATGCCTTGTTTACTCTGGAGCCTACTTATGGCTCCCAATGCCTATGGGGGCGTGGCTTAGCCTATGGGGGTGGAGCTTAGCCTAGGGGGCGTGGCTTAGCCTATGGAGGGTTTGGCTTAGCCTGTGGGGTGGGGCTTAGCCTATGGGGGCGTGGCTTAGCCTATGGAGGGTGTGGCTGAACATATGGGGGTGGAGCTTAGCCTGGGGGGGGTGGCTTAGCCTAAGGGGGTGGAGCTTAGCATAGGGGGTGTGGCTTAGCCTGTGGATGACTTAGCCTAAGGGGGTGGAGCTTAGCATAGGGGGCAGGCCTTAGCCTATGGGGGCTGGTGCTTAGCCTAGGGGGCGTGGCTTATCATATGGGGGCGTGGCTTACCCTATGGGGGGCGTGGCTTCCCCCTGCCCTTCCTCGTGCCCTGTTCACTCTGGAGCCTACTGATGGCTCCCATTGGCTCCCTGCTGATAGGAGAGGGTCTGGGGCGGGGGGGGGGCCCCCAAGTGTGCCCCCCACCTTACGTCCCCCCCCCCGCACCCCCTCTTTTCCCCCCATAGAGGAGCCCAAGGCCGAGAGGGACCCCAAAGCCGAGCCCCGCGCCAACGGGCGCCGCGACGACCGGGCCGAGAAGCCGCGGTTCATGTTCAACATCGCCGACGGGGGCTTCACGGGTGAGGGAAGGGGGGGGGGGGCGACCCCAAAGTGTGGGGTGGGACCCTGAGGGGTGGTGCTGACGCCATGGTGTGGGTCACACCCCCCTCCTTATCCCCCCCCCGTGCCCCATAGAGCTGCACACGCTGTGGCAGAACGAGGAGCGCGCCGCCATCTCCTCCGGGAAGCTCAATGAGATCTGGCACCGGCGCCACGACTACTGGCTGCTGGCCGGGATCGTGCTGTATCCTTCCGGGCTGCCCGGCCCTTCCTCCTCCTCCTCTTCCTCTTCTGTTTGCTCCTTCTCTTCCTCTTCCATCTTCCTTTTCCTCCTCTTCCTCCTCCTCCTCTTCTCCTGCTTCTTCTTCCTGCTTCCTTAGCCTCTTCCTCCTCCTCTTTCTCTTTGGCTTCTCTCTTCCTCCTTCTTCCCCTTCCTTCTTCCTCTTCTTCCTCCTTCCTTTTCTTTATCCTCTTCTCCTCTTCTTCTTCCTCCTGCTTCCTTTTCCTTATCCTTTTCCCCTTTCTCCTCTTCTTCCTCCTTCGTTTTCCTTATCATCTTCCTCCTTCTCTTCCTTTTCATCTTCCCTCTTTCTCCCCCTCTTCTTCCCTTTCCCTCTTCCTCTTCCTCTTCTTCCTGCTTCCTTTTCCTTATCCTCTTCCTCCTCTTCTTCCTCTAGCTCCTGCTTCCTTTTCCTTATCCTCTTCCCTCTTCTTCCTTCTCTTCCCCTTCCCTCTTCCTCTTCTTCCTCCCTCCTTTTCCTCCTGATCTTCATCTTCCCTCTTCTTCCTCCTCTTCTTCCTCTAGCTCCTGCTTCCTTTTCCTTATCCTCTTCCCTCTTCTTCCTCCTCTTCCCCTTCCCTCTTCCTCTTCTTCCTCCTTCCTTTTCCGTATCCTCTTCCTCTTCGTCTTCCCCCTTCCTCCTCCTCTTCTTCCCATTCCCTCTTCCCCTTCCTCCTGCTTCCTTTCCCTTATCCTCTCCCTCCTCCTCTTTGGCTTCCCTCTCCCTCCTCCTCTTCCTCCCTTGCCCTCTTCCTCTTCCTCCTTTTCCCCCTCCCTGGTGGCAGTGGCAGCACCAAGGAGGGTGCCACCAAGGTAGGGGTGATGGTGACACGGTGACGGTGACGTGGTGATGGTGACATGGTGACGGTGATGTGGTGGTGGTGACACAGTGATGGTGACACAGTGACGGTGACGTGGTGATGGTGACGTGGTGGTGGTGACACGGTGATGGTGACACGGTGATGGTGACGTGGTGGTGGTGACACAGCGATGGTGACGTGGTGATGGTGATGTGGTGATGGTGACACGGTGATGGTGATGTGGTAACGGTGACACATTGACGGTGACATGGTGATGGTGACAGTGACGTGGTGACGGTGATGCGGTAACGGTGACACAGGGGACATGATGGTGGCCTTCAGCATGGGGGGGATGTTGGGGACAAGGTGACCCAATGACAGTGACTTGGTGTCACACATGATGACACGGTGACCACGTGATGACACACGTGCTGACACGTGACGGTCCTTAGCGCTCCGCCACGGCTCCATGCATTGGCTGGGGGTGAGTGGAGGGCGTTGAGGGGGGTGTTAGGGACAGGATGACGTGATGACGCGGTGACCACGTGATGCCACACGTGATGCCACACATGCTGACACGTGTGCTGACACATGACGGTCCTCAGCACTCAGCCACGGCCCCATGCATTGACTGTGGTGAATGGAGGGCATTGAGGGTGACGTTAGGGACAGGATGACGCGGTGACCACGTGATGCCACACGTGATGACACACGTGCTGACACGCGTGCTGACACGTGACGGTCCTTAGCGCTCAGCCACGGCCCCATGCACTGGCTGGGGGTGAATGGAGGGCGTTGAGGGTGACGTTAGGGACAGGATGACGCGGTGACCACGTGATGCCACACGTGCTGACACGCGTGCTGACACGTGACGGTCCTCAGTGCTCAGCCATGGCTCCATGCATTGGCTGGGGGTGACTGGAGGGCGTTGAGGGGGGTGTTAGGGACAGGATGACGCGGTGACCACGTGATGCCACACGTGATGCCACACGTGCTGACACGTGACGGTCCTTAGCGCTCAGCCACGGCTACGCGCGCTGGACCGACATCCAGAACGACGGCGCCTTCGGGGTCATCAACGAACCCTTCAAGGGGGAGGCCTCCAAAGGGAACTTCCTGGAGATGAAGAACAAGTTCCTGGCCCGGCGCTTCAAGGTGAGGCCTCCTGGGGTGGGGGGGGCTTGCCATGGGGGTCACGTGTGCATGAGGGTCACGTGTTCATCGCGGTCACGTGTGCACCTCGGTCATGTGTTCATCATGGTCACGTGTGCACCAGGGTCATGTGTGTGCGAGGGTCGTGTGTGCATGAGGATCATGTGTTCATCATGGTCACGTGTGCACCTGGGTCATGTGTTCATCATGGTCATGTGTGCATGAGGGTCACATGTTCATGGTGGTCACGTGTGCACCTCGGTCATGTGTTCGTCATGGTCACGTGTGCACCAGGGTCATGTGTGTGCGAGGGTTGTGTGTGCACCAGGGTCATGTGTTCATCGTGGTCACGTGTGCACCAGGGTCATGTGTGCACGAGGGTCGTGTGTGCATGAGGATCATGTGTTCATCATGGTCACGTGTGCACCTGGGTCATGTGTTCATCATGGTCATGTGTGCATGAGGGTCACATGTTCATGGTGGTCACGTGTGCACCTCGGTCATGTGTTCGTCATGGTCACATGTGCACCAGGGTCATGTGTGTGCAAGGGTCGTGTGTGCACCAGGGTCATGTGTTCATCGTGGTCACGTGTGCACCAGGGTCATGTGTGCGCGAGGGTCGTGTGTGCATGAGAATCGTGTGTTCATCGTGGTCATGTGTGCACCAGAGTCACGTGTGCTCAAGGGCAGCATGTTCAGGAAGGCCATGTGTGCATGAGCGTCACATGTTCATCATGGTCATGTGTGCAGCAGGGTCATATGTTCATCATGGTCACGTGTGCACCAGGGTCATGTGTGTACAAGGGTTGTGTGTGCATGAGGGTCACGTGTTCATCGTGGTCATGTGTGCATGAGGGTCCTGTGTTCATCATGGTCGTGTGTTCATCATGGTCACATGTTCATTGTGGTTACGTGTGCACCAGGGTCACGTGTACATGAGGGTCACATGTGCATGAGGCTCACATGTTCATTGTGGTCACGTGTGCACCAGGGTCATGTGTGCATGAGGGTCATGTGTTCATCATGGTCACATGTGCATGAGGGTCACATGCATCATGGTCATGTGTGCACCAGGGTCACGTGTGCACCACGTTTTATGTGTGCATGAGGGTCACATGTTCATCATGGTCATGTGTGCACCAGGGTCATGTGTGCATGAGGGTCACGTGTTCATCATGGTCATGTGTGCACCAGAGTCATGTGTTCATTGTGGTCACATGTGCACCAGGGTCATGTGTGTATGACAGTTGTGTGTGCATGAGGGTCACGTCACCTGTTCATCATGGTCACGTGTGCATGAGGATTACATGTGCATCATGGTCGTGTGCACCAAGGTCATGTGTTCATCAGGGTCATGTGTGCATGAGGGTCATGTATGTACAAGGGTTGTGTGTGCATGAGGGTCACGTGTTCATCGTGGTCACGTGTGTGCCACATATATGTGTGCATGAGGGTTGCGTGTTCATCAAGGTCATGTGTGCACAAGGGTTGTGTGTGCATGAGGGTCACGTGTTCATCAAGGGCATGTGTGTGCCAGGGTCATGTGTGGATGAGGGCCACATGTTCATCATGGTCATGTGTGTACCAGGGTCATGTGTACACCAGGGTTGTGTGTACACCAGGGTCACGTGTTCATCAAGGTCATGTGTGCACCAGGGTCATGTGTGGATGAGGGTCACATGTTCATCAAGGTCGTGTGTGCACCAGGGTCATGTGTGGATGAGGGCCACATGTTCATCATGGTCATGTGTACACCAGGGTTGTGTGTGCACCAGGGTCACATGTTCATCATGGTCATGTGTGCACCAGAGTCATGTGTGGATGAGGGTCACATGTTCATCAAGGTCATGTGTGCACCAGGGTCATGTGTGGATGAGGGTCACATGTTCATCATGGTCACGTGTTCACCAGGGTCTTGTATGTGCAAGGGTTGTGTGTGCATCATGGTCATGTCTTCATCATGGTCACGTGTGCTCCAGGGTCATGTGTGCATGAGATCACGTGTTCATCGTGGTCACGTGTCCACCAGGGTCATGTGTGCACAAGGGTTGTGTGTGCATGAGGGTCATGTGTTCATCATGGTCATGTGTGCGCCAGGGTTATGTGTGCACGAGGGTCACGTGTTCATCCTGGTCATGTGTGCACCAGGGTGATGTGTGCATGAGGGTCACGTGTTCATCATGGTCACATTTGCACCAGGGTCATGTGTGCACAAGGGTTGTGCGTGCATGAGGGTCATGTGTTCATCATGGTCACGTGTGCACCAGGGTCATGCATGCACAAGGGTTGTGTGTGCATCATGGTCAAGTCTTCATCATGGTCACGTGTGTGCCAGGGTCATGTGTGCATGAAGGTCATGTGTTCATCAAGGTCATGTGTGCACCAGGGTCATGTGTGCACAAGGGTTGTGTGTGCATGAGGGTCACGTGTTCATCATGGTCACGTGTGCACCAGGGTCATGTGTGGATGAGGGTCACATGTTCATCATGGTCATGTGTGCACCGGGGTCATGTGTGCATGAGAGCCATGTGTTCATCATGGTTGCGTGTGCACCAGGGTCATGTGTGCACAAGGGTTGTGTGTGCATCATGGTCATGTGTTCATCGTGGTCATGTGTATGCCAGGGTCATGTGTGCATGAGATTGCATGTTCATCGTGGTCACATGTGCACCAGGGTCATGTGTGCACAAGGGTTGTGTGTGCATGAGGGTCACGTGTTCATCATGGTCATGTGTGCACCAGGGTCATGTGTGCATGAGGGTCACATGCTCATCACGCTCACGTGTGCACCAGGGTCATGTGTGCACGAGGGCAGCATGTTCAGGATTGTCATGTGTGTCCAAGCGCCACGGTCACGTGTGCATGGGGATGGTGCTTGCACCAGGGTCACGTGTGCACCAGGGTCACGTGTGCATGGGACTAGTGCTTGCACCAGGGTCACATGTGCATGCGGGTTACATGTGCCCCAGGATTGGGTGTGCACAAGGGTGGGGCTTGCATGAGGGTCACGTGCTCCATGGTCACGTGTGCCTCAGGGTCACGTGTGCACAAGGGTCACGTGTTCATGAAGGTCATGTGTGTACAGGGGTCATGTGTGCATGAGGCTTACGTGTGCACAAGGGTCACGTGCTCTATGGTCACGTGTGCCTCAGGGTCACGTGCTCTATGGTCACGTGTGCCTCAGGGTCACGTGTGCACAAGGGTCACGTGTTCATGAAGGTCATGTGTATACAGTGGTCGTGTGCACAAGGGTCACGTGCACAGGGATCACATGTGCATGAGGGTCACGTGCTCCATGGTCACATGTGCCTCAGGGTGACGTGTGCACAAGGGTCACGTGTGCACGAGGGTCATGTGTTCACCAGGGTCATGTGTGTACGAGGGTCACGTGTGCGCAAGGATCACATGTGCAGGAGGGTTGCGTGTGCGCAGGGGGCATGGGTGCTCCGGGTGATGGCAACGCCATGGTTGGGTGCTCGGATGCCCTTGGGGATGGGTGAAGTCAGAGCTGGGCCCCTGGGCAATGGGTGAGGTCCCAGTTGGGTGCTCTGGGTGATGGGTAACACCAGCATTGGATGCTGTGGGTGATGGGTAACACCAGCATTGGGTGCTCTGGGTGATGGGTAACACCAGCATTGGATGCTGTGGGTGATGGGTAACACCAGAGTTGGGTGCTCTGGTGATGGGCAAGACCAGAGTTGGGTGCTCTTGGTGATGGGCAACACCAGAATTGGGTGCTCTTCGTGATGGGTAAGACCAGAGTTGGGTGCTCTTGGTGATGGGTAACACCAGAGTTGGGTGCTCTAGGTGATGGCAACACCAGAGTTGGGTTCTCTTGGTGATGGTAACGTCATAGTTGGGTGCTTGGGAGCTGTTCATGATGGGTGAGCTCACAGTTGGGTGATCTTGGTGATGGGTAAGACCCGAGTTGGATGCTCTGGCTGATAGTGATGTCACAGTTGGGTGCTTTGGATGCTCTTGGTGATGGTTGAGGTTATAGTTGGGTGCTCTTGGTCATAGTTGAGGTGTCAGTTGCGTGCTCTTGGTGATGGGTAACACCAGAGTTGGATGCTCTGGGTGACAGTAACGTCATAGTTGGGTGCTTGGATGCCTTTGGTGATGGTTGAGGTCATAGCTGGGTGCTCTTGGTGATGGGTAATGTCATGATTGGGTGCTCTTTGTGATGGTTAATGTCATAGTTGGGTGCTTTTGGTGATGGGTACCACCAAGTTGGATGCAGCGGGTGATAGCAACGTCATAGGTGGGTGCTTGGATGCTCTTGGTGATGGTTAATATCGTAACTGGGTGCTCTTCATGATGGTTGAGGTCATAGTTGGGTGCTCTTCATGATGGTTGTGGTCATAATTGGGTGCTCTTGGTGATGGTTGAGGTCATAGTTGGGTGCTCTTCATGATGGTTAATGTCATAGTTGGGTGCTCTTGGTGATGGTTGTGGTCATAGTTGGGTGCACTTGGTCATTGTTGACATCATAGTTGGGTTCTCTTGGTGATGGGTACCACCAAGTTGGATGCTCTGGGTGACAGTAAAGTCATAGTTGGGTGCTTGGATGCTCTTGGTGATGGTTGAGGTCATAGTTGGGTGCTCTTGGTGATGGGTACCACCAAGTTGGATGCTTTTGGTGACAGTAATGTCTTAGTTGGGTGCTTGGATGCTCTTGGTGATGGTTGAGGTGATAGTTGTGTCATATAGTTGGGTATCACCAGAGTTGGATGCTCTGGGTGACAGTAACATCATAGTTGGGTGCTTGGATGTTCTTGGTGATGGTTAAGGTCCTAGTTGGGTGGTCTTGGTCATTGTTAAGGTCATAGTTGGGTGCTCTTGGTGATGGGTACCACCAAGTTGGGTGCTTTTGGTGATAGTAATGTCATAGTTGGGTGCTTGGATGCTCTTAGTGATGCTTGAGGTCATAGTAGTCTGCCCTTGATGATGTTTAATGTCATAGTTGGGTGCTCTTGGTGATGGTTAGCACCAAGTTGGATGCTCTGGGTGATAGCAACATCATAGTTGGGTGCTTGGATGCTCTTGGTGATGGTTAATGTCGTAATTGGGTTCTCTTGGTGATGGTTGAGGTCATAGTTGGGTGCTCTTGGTCATTGTTGAGGACATAGTTGGGTCCTCTTGGTGATGGGTACCACCAAGTTGGATGCTTTTGGTGACAGTAACATCATAGTTGGGCGCTTGGATGCCCTTGGTGATGGTTGAGGTCATAGTTGGGTGCTCTTGGTCATTGTTGACATCATAGTTGGGTGCTCTTGGTGATGGGTACCACCAGGTTGGATGCTCTGGGTGACAGTAACATCATAGTTGGGTGCTTGGATGCTCTTGGTGATGGTTGAGGTCATAGTTGGGTGCTCTTGGTGATGGTTGAGGTCATAGTTGGGTGCTCTTGGTGATGGTTGAGGTCATAGTTGGGTCCTCTTGGTGATGGGTGCCACCAAGTTGGACGCTCTGGGTGACAGTAACGTCATAGTTGGGTGCTTGGATGCTCTTGGTGGTGGTTGCGGTCATAGTTGGGTGCTCTTGGTCATTGTTGACATCGTAGTTGGGTCCTCTTGGTGACGGGTGCCACCAAGTTGGACGCTCTGGGTGACAGTAACGTCATAGTTGGGTGCTTGGATGCCCTTTGTGATGGTTGAGGTGATAGTTGGGTGCTCTTGGTGGTGGTTGAGGTGATAGTTGGGTGCTCTTGGTGATGGTTGAGGTGATAGTTGGGTGCTCTTGGTGATGGTTGAGGTGATAGTTGGGTGCTCTTGGTGATGGTTGAGGTCATAGTTGGGTGCTCTTGGTGATGGTTGCGGTCATAGTTGGGTGCTCTTGGTGATGGTTGAGGTCATAGTTGGGTGCTCTTGGTGATGGTTGAGGTCATAGTTGGGTGCTCTTGGTGATGGTTGAGGTCATAGTTGGGTGCTCTTGGTGATGGTTGAGGTCATAGTTGGGTGCTCTTGGTGACGGGTACCACCAAGTTGACCGCTCCCGCTGACCCCAAGCCCATCACCGCAACGCCCTTGTTGAAATCCAAATCCTCTTGACCCCAACCCCATTACCCCCCCCTCCTTTTCCCCCTCATTTCTCCCTGTATCTCCCCCCCCCCCCCCCTTCTTTTCCCTTCCATCTCCTCCCCACAGCTCCTGGAGCAGGCGCTGGTGATCGAGGAGCAGCTGCGGCGCGCCGCGTACCTCAACATGACGCAGGACCCCAGCCACCCAGCCATGGCCCTCAACACCCGCTTCGCCGAGGTCGAGTGCCTGGCCGAGAGCCACCAGCACTTGTCCAAGGAGTCGCTGGCGGGCAACAAGCCCGCGAACGCCGTCCTGCACAAGGGTAAGAGGCGGGGGGGCCGGCGCGCCCGGCGCGGACGCCCCGTGTAGCTCCCGGCACCTCTGTACCCGCGCTTCTCGATCATTAAAGTGGGGTTCTCCTTCCCAACCGGCTCCCGGTGTATCCTTGCTCTGCGTTTGTTGCTTTCTGGCGGCCGGATTTGGGGGGGGGGGGATGTGTGTGTGTGGGGGAGGGGGGTGTTGTGGGGGGTGAAAGAGGTAAAATATTTGGGGGGGGGAGGGGGGAGGTTGGGAAAAGTGCCCAAAGAGGGGTTTTTTGGGGTGTGAGTAACCTGTGAGGAAGCTCGGAGTAAGTGGGGTGAGGCTTTGAGGTGGCCGCTATGGGGCAAGGAGCCGGCGGGTGCCTCTTGCTTTGCGCTAAGGTGGAGCTGGGGTGGGGGGGGTTAAGGCTGGAGGTGCCCCGTGTAACTGGGGGCATGGGGGGAGTATGTGCCCCAGTACCCCCCCCCCCCCCCCAGCCCCAGGTGCATGCCGTGATGAGGAAGGCTGGAGTAATGCTGGTGTGCGGCGGGGTGGCCCCTGCTTGCATGTGATGGCTTGGCCCCCCCGGGGGGGGGGGGCATGGACTGTGTATCTCTGGTGTATGTGCGGAGTAGCTCTGGTGTGCTTAACGGAGGGCTCCAGGGGAAGGTGCTGAGTAAGCGATGAGTAGCATTGGAGTGAGGCCAGAGTAGCATTGGAGTAAGCGATGGATATCATTGGAGTAAGCGATGAGTATCACAGGAGTGATGAGTATCACAGGAGTAAGCAATGAGTAGCATTGGAGTGAGCAATGAGTAGCACTGGAGTAAGTGATGAGTATCATGGGAGTAAGGGTAGAATAGCACTGGAGTAAGCAATGAGTATCATTGGAGTAAGCAATGAGTAGCACTGGAGTAGGGCAATGAGCATCGTTGGAGTAAGTGATGAGTATCACAGGAGTAAGGCCAGAGTATCATTGGAGTAAGCAATGAGTATCACAGGTGTAATCAATGAGTATCACAGGAGTAAGGCGAGAGTATCACTGGAGTAAGCAATGAGGATCATTGGGATAATTGATGAATATCACAGGAGTAAGTGATGAGTATCACAGGAGTAAGCAGTGAGTATCACTGGAGTAGACAATGAGTATCACAGGAGTAAGAGATGAGCATTATTGGAGTAAATGGTGAGTAGCATTGGAGTAAGCGATGAGTATCATTGGAGTAAGTGATGAGTATCACAGGAGTAAGGCCAGAGTATCACTGGAGTAAGTGATGAGTATCCCAGGAGTAAGAGATTAGTATTATTGGAGTAAGGCCAGAGTTTCACAGGAGTAAGCAATGAGCATCATTGGGGTAAGTGATGAGTATCCCAGGAGTAAGCAATGAGCAGCATAGGGGTAAGCAATGAGTATCACTGGAGTAAGCGATGAGGATCACAGGCTGATGAGGCTGTGCAGTGGGTATCCTCAGTGCTGTGCCTGCATCCTCTTAGCCCGGAGCAGGAGTAGGTGCTGAGGATGCCCAGAGTAGCTCTGCTGTAGCCATGGGGCAGTAAGGGCCATACCCGGAGTATCTCCGGTGTTGCTGGCCATTGCCCTTGGGGTAGCTCTGGTGTGTCAGGAGTAGGCTGGAGTGATGAAGGAGTAAGTCTGGAGCATTGCCAGTGTAGCTGCAGCACAGACCCTCAAGCTTGGAGTAACTCTGGTGTTGTACCCAGGGCAGCTCCGTTGTGTCTATAGGCAGCAGACCTGGAGTAGGTCAGGAGTAGGTAAGGAGTAGGTAAGGAGTAGCTCTGGTGTGTCTGAAGAGCAGACCCGGAGTAAACCTGTAGTAGCTCCAGTGTGGTCAGAGCAAGTGCCTGGAAGGAGCATCCCTGGAGTACCCCCAGAGCCCTCAAGGCTCATACCCAGAGTACCTCTGAGTCCTCCCACCCTGGAGCATGCCCCCATTCCCCCCCCCCCCCCCCATAGGCGCATCCCCTGAGTATCCCTTGAGTAGCTCTTCCCCTTCCCTTCCCTCCTCCCTACCCCATCCCCTTGCCCTCATGTGAGCACCTCCACTCCCCCCACCCTCCCCTTGACCCACCCCACCCCATGAGTAACCTATGAGTAACCTATGAGTAACCTATGAGTAGGCTCGGGACGGCCCCCCGGCGCTGACGGGGCCCCCCCCACCCCTCTCTCTCTCTCTCTCTCTTTTTACCCCCCCCCCCCCCCCCCCCCCCCACCCCTCCCGCCACCCTTTGTTCCCGTGGGCCAGTGCTGAACCAGCTGGAGGAGCTGCTGAGCGACATGAAGGCGGACGTCACCCGCCTGCCCGCCACCCTCTCGCGCATCCCCCCCATCGCCGCCCGCCTCCAGATGTCCGAGCGCAGCATCCTCAGCCGCCTGGCCAGCAAGGGCACCGAGAGCCACCCCCCACCTGTAAGTCACACCCCCATCCCCTGCATCCACCCCTCCATCCACCCCCAACAATGCACTGGGGGCGTCCTTGGCCTTGGGGACATGGCCATGCATTGGGGGCATCCTTGTCCTTGGGGACCATCGTTCACCTTGGGGACCATCGTTCACCTTGGGGACCATCCTTCACCTTGGGGACATGGCCATCCATTGGGGATGTCCTTCTCCTTGGGGACCATCGTTCACCTTGGGGAGCATCCTTCACCTTGGGGACATGGCCATCCATTGGGGACGTCCTTGGGGACCATCGCTCACCTTGGGGACATGGCCATCCATTGGGGGCATCCTTGTCCTTGGGGACCATCCTTGTCCTTGGGGACATGGCCATCCATTGGGGGCATCCTTGTCCTTGGGGACCATCATTCACCTTGGGGATATGACCTTGGGGACCATCCTTCACCTTGGTGACCATCATTCACCTTGGGGACATGACCTTGGGGACCATCCTTCACCTTGGGGACATGGCCATGCATTGGGGGCATCCTTGTCCTTGGGGACCATCCTTCACCTTGGGGACATGGCCATCCATTGGGGGCATCCTTTTCCTTGGGGACCATCCTTCTCCCTGGGGACCATTGTTCACCATGGGGACCATCGTTCACCTTGGGGACATGGCCATCCATTGGGGACGTCCTTGGGGACCATCGTTCACCTTGGGGACCATCGTTCACCTTGGGGACATGGCCATCCATTGGGGACTTCTTCATCCTTGGGGACATCCTTGTCCTTGGGGACATCCTTGTCCTTGGGGACCATCCTTCACCCTGGGGACGTGGCCATGCATTGGGGACATCCTTCTCCTCCTGGACCATCCTTGTCCTTGGGGACATCCTTCTCCTTGGGGACCATTGTTCACCTTGGGGACATGGCCATGTATTGGGGGCATCCTTGTCTTTGGGGACCATCCTTCACCCTGGGGACGTGGCCATGCATTGGGGACATCCTTGTCCTCGGGGTCCATCCTTGTCCTTGGGGACCATCGTTCACCTTGGGGACATGGCCATCCATTGGGGACATCCTTCACCTTGGGGACCTCTTTCCCATGGGTACATCCCCTATGCTGGGGGACAATGACCCCCTCCACTGGGGTCATTTTGCCTTGGGGACATCCCATCCTTGGTGCCACCCATAGGGCCCCATTGGCCTGCCCCATCCATGGTGCTCCCCGTGCTGGTACCATCAATGGGGAGGTGACACCCTTGTCGTGTCCCCCCCCCCATAGACCTTCCCACCAGGGCCCTACGCCACCCCCCAGACCTATGGGGGCACCTTTGGGACCCCCCCACCCGGAGCCCTCCCCCCTGGAGGGGCCAACTACAGCCAGATGCCACCCGGGTCCTTCATCACCGGTGAGGGGGGGCATGGGTGCTATGGGCATGGATGGGGGCCCATGGGTGCTGTGGGTGTGGATGGGGGCACATGGGTGCTGTGGGCGTGGACGGGGCCCCATGGGTGCTGTGGGCATGGATGGGGGCACATGGGTGCTGTGGGTGTGGATGGGGCTTGCGGGTACTGTGGGCATGGATGGGAGCCCATGGGTGCTCTAGGCATGGATGGGATCCTGTGGGTGGTATGGACATGGATGGGGGCCCATGGGTGCTATGGGGGTGGATACAGTCCCATGGGAGCTATGGGAGTGGAAGAGGTCCCATGGGTGCTATGGGTATGAATGGAGGCCCATGGGTGCTGTGGGTGTGGATGGGGTCCCATGGGTGCTATGGGAGTGGATATGGTCCCATAGATGCTATGGGTATGGATGGGGTCCCATGGGAGCTATGGGAGTGGATGTGGTCCCATGGGAGCTATGGGAATGGATGGGGTCCCATGGGAGCTATGGGAGTGGATGGGGTCCCATGGGAGCTATGGGAATGGATGGGGTCCCATGGGAGCTATGGGAATGGATGGGGTCCCATGGGTGCTATGGGAATGGATGGGGTCCCATGGGTGCTATGGGAGTGGATGGGGTCCCATGGGAGCTATGGGAGTGGATGGGGTCCCATGGGAGCTATGGGAATGGATGGGGTCCCATGGGTGCTATGGGAGTGGATATGGTCGCATGGGTGCTATGGGTATGGATGGGGGCCCATGGGTGCTGTGGGTGTGGATGGGGTCCCATGGGAGCTATGGGAGTGGATATGGTCCCATGGGTGCTATGGGAGTGGCTATGGTCCCATGGGAGCTATGGGAGTGGATGGGGTCCCATGGGTGCTATGGGCATGGGGGGATCGATCCATGGGTGCCTGGTCTATGGATCTATGGGGGGGGTGTCTATGGGTGTACGGGTCTATGGGTGGGGGTACCATGGGTGCTATGGGAGTGGATATGGTCCCATGGGAGCTATGGGAGTAGATGGGGTCCCATGGGTGCTATGGGAGTGGATAGGGTCCCATGGGTGCTATGGGCATGGGGGGATCGAACCATGGGTGCCTGGTCTATGGATCTATGGGGGGGGTGTCTATGGGTGTATGGGTGAATGGGTGGGGGTACCATGGGTGCTATGGGCAGTGAGGAGCTCCCTTGGGTACTTGTGTCTTTGGGTGGGGGTCCTGGGTCTATGCCTGAACCCCATTGCCCCCATTGTCCCCATCACCCCCATTCCCCCCCTTGCCCCCATTACCCCCATTGTCCCCCTTGCCCCCATTGCCCCCATTACCCCCATTGTCCCCATTGTCCCCATTGCCCCCATTACCCCCATTACCCCCTTTGCCCCCATTACCCCCATTGCCCTCATTACCCCCATTGCCCCCATTGCCATTACCCCCATTGCCCCCATTGTCCCCATCCCCCCCATTACCCCATTGCCCCCATTGTCCCCATTGCCCCCATTACCCCCATTACCCCCATTGTCCCCATTACCACCTTTGCCCCCATTGCCCCCATTGCCCCCATTGCCCCCATTGTCCCCATCCCCCCCATTACCCCATTGCCCCCATTGTCCCCATTACCCCCATTGCCCCCATTGTCCCCATTACCCCCATTGCCCCCATTGCCCCCATTGCCCCCATTACCCCCATTGCCCCCATTACCCCCATTGCCCCCATTGTCCCCATTACCCCCATTGCCCCCATTGCCCCCATTGCCCCCATTGCCCCCATTACCCCCATTGCCCCCATTGCCCCATTACCCCCATTGCCCCCATTGCCCCCATTGCCCCCATTACCCCCATTGAGCCCCCATTACCCCCATTGTCCCCATTGCCCCCATTACCCCCATTGCCCCCATTGTTCCCATTACCCCCATTGCCCCCATTACCCCCATCGTCCCCATCGCCCCCATTACCCCATTGTCCCCATTGTCCCCATTACCCCCATTGTCCCCATTGTCCCCATTACCCCCATTGTCCCCATTGTCCCCATTACCCCCTTTGCTCCCTTTGCCCCCATTGCCCCCATTACCCCCATTACCCCCCTTGTCCCCCCCCACAGCCGCTGCCAATGGTCCCCCCGTGCTGGTGAAGCGGGAGCGCGAGGCCGAGGGCCAGGACAAGAAGGAGCCGCGGGGGGGGGAGGTCATTTGCATCGATGACTAAAGGAGGGGGGGGCCATGGGGGGGCCCCCCCCTTATGTCCCCTTCCCCCCCCCCCCCTTTGGCAGCGGTGGGGGAGGGGCACCACTGCCAAAATCGCCTCTTTTCACCCCAAATCCGCTCTTGGGGGGGGGTGTGTGTTTGGGCGGTACCAATATGGGGGGGGGGGGTGACAAGGACCACTGCAGCTATAAATATATATATATATATATCTCCCCCCCATAGCAGGGGGGACCAAGGGGTTGGGGTGGCCCCTGTGTCCCCCCCCACCCTCCTCTGGGGTGGGCCCCCCCCCGCCCCCCACCCAGGGGTGTCCCCAAGGGTCACCCCAAAACTTCCCCCTCCCCCCCTCCCTCCCCCATTGGGGCACTTGTTTAACCGCAGCAGAATAAAACCCGGTTCCTTGGCTATGGCACATGGGTCCGTGGGTGTCCATAGGGTCCATGGGTGTCCATAGGGGTCCATGGGTGTCCATAGGGGTCCATGGGTGTCCATAGGGTCCATGGGTGTCCATAGGGGTCCATGGGTGTCCATAGGGTCCATGGGTGTCCATAGGGGTCCATGAGTGTCCATAGGGTCCATGGGTGTCCATAGGGGTCCATGGGTGTCCATAGGGTCCATGGGTGTCCATAGGGGTCCATGGGTGTCCATAGGGTCCATGGGTGTCCATAGGGTCCATGGGTGTCCATAGGGGTCCATGGGTGTCCATAGTGACCATGGGTGTCCATAGCGACCACGGGTGTCCATAAGGACCATGGGTTTCCATAGGGTCCATAGGTGTCCATAGGGACCATGGGTGCCCATAGGGGTCCATAGGGTCCATGGGTGTCCATAGGGGTCCATGGGTGTCCATAGGGTCCATGAGTGTCCATAGGGTCCATGGGTGTCCATAGGGGTCCATGGGTGTCCATAGGGTCCATGGGTGTCCATAGGGGTCCATGGGTGTCCATAGGGTCCATGGGTGTCCATAGGGTCCATGGGTGTCCATAGGGGTCCATGGGTGTCCATAGGGTCCATGGGTGTCCATAGGGGTCCATGGGTGTCCATAGGGTCCATGGGTGTCCATAGGGGTCCATGGGTGTCCATAGGGTCCATGGGTGTCCATAGGGGTCCATGGGTGTCCATAGGGTCCATGGGTGTCCATAGGGGTCCATGGGTGTCCATAGGGTCCATGAGTGTCCATAGGGTCCATGGGTGTCCATAGGGGTCCATGGGTGTCCATAGGGTCCATGGGTGTCCATAGGGGTCCATGGGTGTCCATAGGGTCCATGGGTGTCCATAGGGTCCATGGGTGTCCATAGGGGTCCATGGGTGTCCATAGTGACCATGGGTGTCCATAGCGACCACGGGTGTCCATAAGGACCATGGGTTTCCATAGGGTCCATAGGTGTCCATAGGGACCATGGGTGCCCATAGGGGTCCATAGGGTCCATGGGTGTCCATAGGGGTCCATGGGTGTCCATAGGGTCCATGAGTGTCCATAGGGTCCATGGGTGTCCATAGGGGTCCATGGGTGTCCATAGGGTCCATGGGTGTCCATAGGGGTCCATGGGTGTCCATAGGGTCCATGGGTGTCCATAGGGTCCATGGGTGTCCATAGGGGTCCATGGGTGTCCATAGGGTCCATGGGTGTCCATAGGGGTCCATGGGTGTCCATAGGGTCCATGGGTGTCCATAGGGGTCCATGGGTGTCCGTTCAATGGGTGTCAGTGGGTGTCAATGGGGTTCAATGGGGTTCAATGGGTGTCACTGGGTGTCAGTGGGGTTCAATGGGGTTCAATGGGTGTCAATGGGGCTCAATGGGGTTCAATGGGTGTCAGTGGGTGTCAATGGGGTTCAATGGGGTTCAATGGGTGTCACTGGGTGTCACTGGGGATCAATGGGTGTCACTGGGTGTCAATAGGGTTCAATGGGGTTCAATGGGTGTCAATGGGGCTCAATGGGGTTCAATGGGTGTCAGTGGGTCCCATGGGTGTCAATGGGTGTCACTGGGTGTCAATGGGGTTCAATGGGGTTCAATGGGTGTCAATGGGGCTCAATGGGGCTCAATGGGGTTCAATGGGGTTCAATGGGGCTCAATGGGGCTCAATGGGGTTCAGTGGGTGTCAGTGGGTGTCAATGGGGTTCAATGTGTGTCAATGGGGCTCAATGGGGTTCAATGGGTGTCAGTGGGTGTCAATGGGGTTCAATGTGTGTCAATGGGGCTCAATGGGGTTCAATGGGTGTCAGTGGGTGTCAATGGGGTTCAATGTGTGTCAATGGGGCTCAATGGGGTTCAATGGGTGTCAGTGGGTGTCAATGGGGTTCAATGTGTGTCAATGGGGCTCAATGGGGTTCAATGGGTGTCAGTGGGTGTCAATGGGGTTCAATGTGTGTCAATGGGGCTCAATGGGGTTCAATGGGTGTCAGTGGGTGTCAATGGGTGTCAGTGGGGTTCAATGGGGTTCAATGGGTGTCAATGGGGCTCAATGGGGTTCAATGGGTGTCAGTGGGTCCCATGGGTGTCAATGGGTCCCCAGCAATGACGGGGAGTTCGGGGTGTCCCTGAACGTCCGCGCCGTCGTCACCTCCGACGGCTCCGTGCACTGGCGCCCCCCAGCGCTGTTCCGCAGCCACTGCCCCATCAAGGTGAGGGGCAATGGGGGGCTATGGGGGTAATGGGGTCAATGGGGGCAATGGGGGGCTATGGGGGTAATGGGGGCAATGGGGGCTATGGGGGGCAATGGGGGGCAATGGGGGCAATGGGGGCTATGGGGGGCAATGGGGGCTATGGGGGTAATGGGGGCAATGGGGGGCAATGGGGGTAATGGGGGGCTATGGGGGTAATGGGGGGCTATGGGGGCAATGGGGGGCTATGGGGGTAATGGGGTCAATGGGGGCTATGGGGGGCAATGGGGGCTATGGGGGGCTATGGGGGTAATGGGGTTTCGCTCATTTTTGTCTATTTTCCCCTATTTCCTTGCCGGTTTTGCCCATTTTTGCCCGTTTTCGCCCGTTTATCACCCGTTTTTGTCTATTTTCCCCTATTTCCTTGCCGTTTTCGCCCGTTTTTCTTCACGTTTATCACCCGTTTTCACTCATTTTTGTCTATTTCCCCCTATTTCCTTGCCGTTTTCGCCCATTTTCACCTGTTTTTTTTGCCCGTTTTTGCCCGTTTTCACCTTTTTTTTGCCCGTTTTCGCCCGTTTTCACCTGTTTTTTTGCCCGTTTTCGCCCGTTTTCACCTGGTTTTTTGCCCGTTTTCGCCCGTTTTCACCTGTTTTTTTGCCCGTTTTCGCCCGTTTTCACCTGGTTTTTCGCCCGTTTTCACCTGTTTTTTCGCCCGTTTTCGCCCGTTTTCACCTGTTTTTTTGCCCGTTTTCACCTGTTTTTTCGCCCGTTTTCGCCCGTTTTCACCTGTTTTTTGCCCGTTTTCGCCCGTTTTCACCTGTTTTTTTGCCCGTTTTCACCTGTTTTTTCGCCCGTTTTCGCCCGTTTTCACCTGTTTTTTTGCCCGTTTTCGCCCGTTTTCACCTGTTTTTTCGCCCGTTTTCACCTGTTTTTTCCCCGTTTTCGCCCGTTTTCACCTGTTTTTTCGCCCGTTTTCGCCCGTTTTCACCTGTTTTTTCGCCCGTTTTCACCTGTTTTTTTGCCCGTTTTCGCCCGTTTTCACCTGTTTTTTTGCCCGGTTTTGCCCGTTTTCGCCCGTTTTCACCTGTTTTTTCGCCCGTTTTCGCCCGTTTTCACCTGTTTTTTTGCCCGTTTTCGCCCGTTTTCACCTGTTTTTTCCCCGTTTTCGCCCGTTTTCACCTGTTTTTTCGCCCGTTTTCGCCCGTTTTCACCTGTTTTTTGCCCGTTTTCGCCCGTTTTCACCTGTTTTTTCCCCGTTTTCGCCCGTTTTCACCTGTTTTTTCGCCCGTTTTCACCTGTTTTTTGCCCGTTTTCACCCGTTTTTTGCCCGTTTTCGCCCGTTTTCGCCCCATTTCCCCCCAGGTCTCGCACTTCCCCTTCGATTGGCAGAATTGTTCCCTCCGCTTCCGCTCCAGCTCCTACGGCCCCGGGGAGCTGCGGCTCCGGCTCGCGGGGGACCCCGGCTCCGGGGGGGGGAGCGTGGAGCTGTCCGAGGACTTCCAGGGTGAGCCCGGAGCGGGGGCGCCCTATGGGGGCTCTATGGGGTCTCTATGGGGCTCTATGGGGCTCTATGGGGTCTCTGTGGGTCTCTATGGGTCTCTATGGGTCTCTATGGGGCTCTATGGCTCTCTATGGGGTCTCTATGGGTCTCTATGGGGGCTCTATGGGGTCTCTATGGGGCTCTATGGGGTCTCTATGGGGTCTCTGTGGGTCTCTATGGGTCTCTATGGGGCTCTATGGGGTCTCTATGGGGCTCTATGGGGTCTCTGTGGGTCTCTATGGGGCTCTATGGGGCTCTATGGGTCCCTATGGGTCTCTATGGGTCTCTATGGGGTCTCTGTGGGTCTCTATGGGTCTCTATGGGTCTCTATGGGGCTCTATGGGGTCTCTGTGGGGCTCTATGGTTCCCTATGTAACCCTATGGTACCTATGTGTCCCAATGTGTCCCTATGTGTCCCTGTGTGTCCCTATGTGTCTCTATGTCTCTCTATGTATCCCTATGGGTCCCTATGTGTCCTTATGTCCCTCTATGTCCCTCTATGTGTCCCTATGCACCCCCATGTCCCTCTATGGGTCCCTCTATGTGTCCCTATGCATCCCTATGTGTCCCCATGTCCGTCTATGTCGCTCTATGGGTCCCTCTATGGGTCCCTATGTCTCTCTATGTGTCTCTATGTATCCCTATGTCCCTCTATGTCTCTCTATGTATCCCTATGTCCCTCTATGCGTCCTCATGTCTCTCTGTGGGTCCCTCTATGTGTCCCCATGTGTCCCTATGTGTCCCTATGTCTCTCTGTGTGTCTCCATGTCCCTCTGTGTCCCTCTATGTCCCTCTATGGGTCCCCATGTCCCTCTATGGGTCCCTCTATGGGTCTCTATGGGTCCCTCTATGTGTCCCTATGTCTCTCTATGGGTCCCTATGTCTCTCTATGTCTCTCTATCCGTCCCCATGTCCCTCTATGGGTCCCTCTCTGTGTCTCTATGCATCCCCATGTCCCTCTATGGGTCCCTATGTGTCTCTATGTCTCTCTACGGGTCCCTCTATGTGTCCCCATGTGTCTCTATGGGTCTCTATGCATCCCCATGTCCCTCTATGTCCCTCTATGTCCCTCTATGTGTCCCTCTATGCATCCCCATGTCCCTCTATGGGTCCCTATGCATCCCCATGTCCCTCTATGTGTCCCTATGCATCCCTATGTCTCTCTATGTGTCCCTATGCATCCCCATGTCCCTCTATGTGTCCCTATGCACCCCCATGTCCCTCTATGTGTCCCTATGCACCCCCATGTCCCTCTATGTGTCCCTATGTGTCCCCATGTCTCTCTATGGGTCCCTATGTATCCCCATGTCTCTCTATGCACCCCCATGTCTCTCTATGGGTCCCTATGTGTCCCCATGTCTCTCTATGGGTCCCTATGCATCCCCATGTCTCTCTATGGGTCTCTCTACGCATCCCCATGTCCCTCTATGTGTCCCTATGCACCCCCATGTCCCTCTATGTGTCCCTATGCACCCCCATGTCCCTCTATGTGTCCCTATGCACCCCCATGTCCCTCTATGTGTCTCTCTATGTATCCCCATGTCTCTCTATGCGTCCCTATGTCCCTCTATGTCTCTCTATGTCCCTCTATGCATCCCCATGTCTCTCTATGGGTCCCTATGTGTCCCCATGTCTCTCTATGGGTCCCTCTCTGTGTCTCTATGCATCCCCATGTCCCTCTATGGGTCCCTATGTGTCTCTATGTCTCTCTATGGGTCCCTCTATGTGTCCCCATGTGTCTCTATGGGTCTCTATGCATCCCCATGTCCCTCTATGTGTCTCTCTATGTCTCTCTATGCATCCCCATGTCCCTCTATGGGTCCCTACGCATTCCTATGTCTCTCTATGCATCCCCATGTCCCTCTATGGGTCTCTATGTCCCTCTATGTCTCTCTATGTCCCTCTATGCATCCCCATGTCTCTCTATGTGTCTCTATGTGTCCCTATGTGTCCCTATGTCTCTCTATGGGTCCCTATGTCCCTCTATGTCCCTCTCTGCATCCCCATGTCCCTCTATGTCCCTCTATGTCCCTCTATGTCCCTCTATGTGTCCCTATGCATCCCTATGTCTCTCTATGGGTCTCTCTATGCATCCCCATGTCCCTCTATGTCTCTCTATGTCCCTCTATGTGTCCCTCTATGGGTCCCTATGTGTCTCTATGTGTCTCTATGGGTCCCTATGTGTCTCTATGTGTCTCTATGGGTCCCTATGTGTCTCTATGTGTCTCTATGTGTCCCTATGTGTCCCTATGTCTCTCTATGCATCCCTATGTCCCTCTATGTCCCTCTCTGCATCCCCATGTCTCTCTATGGGTCTCTCTATGTATCCCTATGTCCCTCTATGTGTCTCTCTCTGCATCCCCATGCATCCCCCCCCTGTCCCCCTCCCCGGCCGCCGCTGCGGCGGGCAGAGAACGGGCAGTGGGAGCTGCGGCAGCGGCCGGGGCGGGCGCAGGGGCTCGGGGCCGTCTCCTTCGCGCTGCTCCTGCGGCGGAAGCCGCTCTTTTACCTGGCCACGGTGCTCGTGCCCTGCGTGCTCCTCACCCTGCTCGCCAGCGCCGTCTTCTACCTGCCCCCCGACGCCGGTGGGGACAGGGGGGGAGATGGGGGCAATGGGGGGCTGCAATGGGGGGAGATGGGGGGAGATGGGGGGAGATGGGGGGAGATGGGGGGAGATGGGGGGAGATGGGGGGAGATGGGGGGATGCAATGGGGGGTTCAATGGGGGCAATGGGGGGAGATGGGGTCAATGGGGGGAGATGGGGGGAATGGGGAGCAATGGGGGGGTTCAATGGGGGGAGATGGGGGGCAAGGGGGGTCTGCAATGGGGGGGTTCAATGGGGAGATGGGGGGGCTGCAATGGGGGGGTTCAATGGGGGGGTTCAATGGGGGGTTCAATGGGGAGATGGGGGGCGGTGGGGGGCAATGGGGGGAAATGGGGGGAATGGGGGGAATGGGGGCAGTGGGGGGAGGTGGGGGGCAATGGGGGGGAATGGGGGCGATGGGGGAGATGGGGGGGCGATGGGGGGGCTGCAATGGGAGCAGTGGGGGGTGATGGGAATGGGGGCGATGAGGGGTGGTGGGGGGCTGTGGGGGAGAATGGGGGGAGATGGGGGGCAGTGGAGGGCGATGGGGGGCAATGGGGGGCAATGGGGGGTGGTGGGGGGGAATGGGGGGAGATGGGGGCGATGGGGGGTGATGGGGGGCTGTGGGGGAGAATGGGGGGAGATGGGGGGCAGTGGAGGGCGATGGGGGGCAATGGGGGGCAATGGGGGGTGGTGGGGGGGAATGGGGGGTGATGGGGGCGATGGGGGGAAATGGGGGGGAATGGGGACGATGGGGGGCTGCAATGGGGGGCAATGGGGGGAGATGGGGCGATGGGGAATGGGGGGCAATGGGGGGCGATGGGGAGGCTGCAATGGGGATGGGGCAATGGGGGGTTCAATGGGGGCAATGGGGGGACTTCAATGGGGGGCAATGGGGGGGCTGCAATGGGGATGGGAGCAATGGGGGTAATGGGGATGCAATGGGGATGGGGGCAATGGGGATGAGGGTCAACACCCATCACCCCCATCACCCCCATTGACCCCATCACCCCCATTACCCCACTGACCCCATCACCCCCATTGACCCCATCACCCCCATCACCCCCATTGACCCCATCACTCCCATTGACCCCATCACCCGCATTGACCCCATCACCCCCATCACCCCCATTGACCCCATCACCCCCATTACCCCCATTACCCCCATTACCCCATTACCCCATTGACCCCATTACCCCCATTGACCCCACCACCCCCATCACCCCATTAGCCCCATTGCCCCCCCCCCAGGGGAGAAGCTGACGCTGTCGCTCTTCGCGCTCCTCACCCCCCCCATCACCCCCATTGACCCCATTGACCCCATCACCCCCATCACCCCATTGCCCCCCCCCGCAGGGGAGAAGCTGACGCTGTCTCTCTTCGCGCTCCTCACCCCCCCCATCACCCCCATTGACCCCACCACCCCCATTACCCCCATTGACCCCATCACCCCATTACCCCCATTACCCCCATTACCCCATTGACCCCATTACCCCCATTGCCCCCCCCTGCAGGGGAGAAGCTGACGCTGTCGCTCTTCGCGCTCCTCACCCTCCCCATCACCCCCATTGACCCCCATTGACCCCACCACCCCCATCACCCCATTACCCCCATTGACCCCCCGCAGGGGAGAAGCTGACGCTGTCGCTCTTCGCGCTCCTCACCCTCACCGTGTTCCTGCTGCTGTTGGCGGACAAGGTCCCGGCCACGTCGCTGGCGCTGCCCCTCATCGCGCGGCACCTGACGGCCACGCTCCTGCTCCTGGCGCTCGGCGTCGCCCTCAGCGTCGCCGTCCTCAACGTGCACCACCGGGGCCCCGGCACGCACCGCCTGCCGCCCGCGCTGCACCGGGTGAGCCAGGCCCTTCGGCGTCCCGCTGAGCGCCACGGGGACCCATTGGGAACCATTGACCTCCATTGGGACCCATTGGGAACCATTGACCTCCATTGGGACCCATTGGGAACCATTGACCTCCATTGGGACCCATTGGGAACCATTGACCTCCATTGGGACCCATTGGGAACCATTGACCTCCATTGGGACCCATTGGGAACCATTGACCTCCATTGGGACCCATTGGGAACCATTGACCTCCACTGGGACCCATTGGGAACCATTGACCTCCATTGGGACCCATTGGGAACCATTGACCTCCATTGGGACCCATTGGGAACCATTGACCTCCACTGGGACCCATTGACCTCCCATTGACCCCATTGACCTCCCATTGACCCCATTGACCCCCCATTGACCCCTCATTGACCTCCCATTGACCCTGCATTGACCTCCCATTGACCTCCCATTGACCCCATTGACCCCCCATTGACCCCCCATTGACCCCTGTTGACCTCCCATTGACCCCATTGACCCCTCATTGACCCCCATTGACCTCTCATTGACCTCCCAATGACCTCCAATTGACCCCCCATTGACCCCCGTTGACCTCCCATTGACCCCCATTGACCCCCGTTGACCCCCGTTGACCTCCCATTGACCCCATTGACCCCAGTGACCCCTCATTGACCCCCATTGACCCCCCCTTTCCCCTCCTCCCCCCTCCAGCTCCTCCTCCAGCGCCTCCCCCCCCTCCTGGGCCTCCACTGCCCCCCGGCCCCGCCCCTCCCTCCGGAGCCCCGCCCCGCGGTGGCGCCCCCTGGCGGCTCGGATGAATACTTCCTGCGGCGGCCACGCCCCGGGGCCGGTTCCGCCCCTCCCCCCGCGCCCCTCCCCCCCCCGGAGCTGCGCGAGGCCGCGGCCGCCGTCGCCTTCATCGCCGGGAGCCTGCGGGAGCAGCAGCGGCAGCGGGAGGTCAGGGGTCACGCGCGGCGTCACGTGACACGCGCCCGTGTGTGCCCATGTGGCGTCACGTGATCCGGGGTGTGTGTGTGTGTGTGTCCGTAGCCACATGGCGTCACGTGGCCCACGTGCATCCTCATGCAGCATCACGTGACTGATGTGTGTCGCCATGTGGTGTCACGTGATCCGTGTGCATCCTCATGCAGCATCACGTGACTGGTGTGTGTCGCCATGTGGTGTCACGTGATCCGTGTGTGTCCTCATGCAGCATCACGTGACTGGTGTGTGTCGCCATGTGGTGTCACGTGATCCGTGTGTGTCGCCATGTGGTGTCACGTGATCCGTGTGTGTCCTCATGCAGCATCACGTGACTGGCGTGTGTCGCCATGTGGTGTCACGTGATCCGTGTGTGTCCTCATGCAGCATCACGTGACTGGTGTGTGTCGCCATGTGGCGTCACGTGATCCGGGTGGGGTGGGGTGGGGGTGTGTCCGTAGCCACATGGCGTCACGTGGCCCACATGCGGCCTCGGGCAGTGTCATGTGATCCGCACGTGCCTGCGTCCTCGCGTGGCATCACGTGACCCGCGTGCATCCTCATGCATCATCACGTGACTGGTGTGTGTCGCCATGTGGTGTCACGTGATCCGTGTGTGTCTGTGTGTGTGTCCTCGCATGCATCCTCATCTGGTGTCACGTGACTCGTGTGTGCGATCATGCGGCTTCACGTGATCCTTGCATGTCCATGGAGCCCCACAGATCCCCAGAGAGCCCCATAGAGCCCCATAAAGTCCCATAGCGCCCCATATGAGCCCGTACAGCCCCATAGAAGCCCCATGGAGCCCCATACAAGACCCATAGGACCCCATATAGTCCCATGGAACCCCATAGACCCCTTATAGACCTCCCATAGACACCCAATAGCCACCCCATAGCTCCTCTCATAGCCCCCCCATAGCCCCACATAGTCCCCTCATAGCCCCCCCATAGCCCGCCTATAGAACCCTATAGACCCCCCATAGCCCCCTCATAGCCCCCCATACCCCCTATAGACCCCCCACAGCCCCCTATAGAACCCCATAGACCCCCCATAGCCCCCCGTAGACCCCCCATATACCCCCATAGCCCCCCCATAGCCCCCCTATAGAACCCCATAGCCCCCCCATAGACCCACCATAGCCCCCCATAGAACCCCATAGACCCCCCATAGACCCACCATAGCCCCCCATAGAACCCCATAGGAGCCCCATAGAGCCCCATCTCACGCCGCTCCCCTCCCGCAGCTGCAGGAGCTCTGGCACCGGGCGGCGCTGGCCCTGGACCGGCTCCTGCTTTGGGCCTTCCTGGTGCTGGTGGGGGCCTGCGGGCTCGGCACCGGCCTGGACGCGGCGCTGCACCGGCCCCCTCCGGACCCCTACCCGTGAGCACCCCCACACCCCATAATTACCCACCCCATAATAACCCACCCCATAATAACCCACCCCATAATAACCACCCCATAAATCCCACCCCATAATAACCACCCCATAATAACCACCCCTATAATAACCACCCCATAAATCCCACCCCATAATAACCACCCCATAATAACCACCCCATAATAACCACCCCATAATAACCACCCCTATAATAACCACCCCATAAATCCCACCCCATAATAACCCCCCCCATAATAAACCCACCCCATAATAAACCCACCCCATAATAAACACCCCATAATAAACCCACCCTATAATAAACCCACCCCATAATAAACCCACTGCATAATAAACACCCCCCATAATAAACCCCCTATAATAAACCCCCCCATAATAAACCCACCCCATAATAACCACCCCATAATAACCACCCCATAATAAACCCCCAATAATAAACCCACCCCATAATAAACACCCCCCTATAATAACCCCCCCATAATAGACCCCCCCATATTCCCACCCCATAATAAACCCACCCCATAATAAACCCCCCCATAATAAACCCCCCCATAACCCCCACCCCATAATAAACCCACCCTATAATAAACCCACCCCATAATAACCCACCCCATAATAACCCACCCCATAATAACCACCCCATAATAACCCACCCCGTAATAACCCACCCC